TCGTGTAATAAATTTTGTTTAACACCAAAGAAAATCCTTTTTTCTTCTTTAACAGCCGCTTATTGTAAATACTTATTGTAAATTAACGACGCCATAGCGAAAGAATGTGATAATGTTTGAAAGGTTAATGACCTTTCAAACTTCAAACTTTGTTATCTATGATACCAACTATGTAAAGTAAAATTTAACCAAATTAAATATAAGGTATAAAATTAATTTGTTTTATGAAATGTTTGCAAAATAGATAAAATAGCATAAAGAACTCATGTCATAAGACCTTTTGTCGCACTTGTCCATTATAAAACTCGCTCCTTCGTCGCTCGTTTTATAAATTGTCCGCGTGCGACAAAATGACGTCTTATGACATTAGTTCTTTAATATACTATTAACTTATTACTTTTATCTACTCCCACCTTCATGTTTCCATGACAATAAGTAACCTTTTAAATACACATTGACAAGTTGTGGCTTTATGGCATTTTAGTCCCGGACTGAAGTTTGTTTTAAGTTAGTTAACCATTATACAATCGTTAAAATAAAGTGCCTTTCTTGTAAAATAACACTCAATGTAAAAATTATTATCTCAACACAAAAATACCTATTAAAGTATTAAATGGTTTCTTGACGCCAATATTTGAAAAGATTATACCTATAAACGTTTGTACTGTTTGTACCTGTTGATTTTGCCGTGGTAGTGCAGTTAACTAGATTTAACTGATACAGCGTTACAAATTTTGCGTACAATGCCCATAAAACAATATCTTCTCTTTTACTGTAAAAAACTGCTTCTATATCAATTTTTAGTCTATTTTCAATAAATTTTGATTTATACAGAAAAATTTGAGATTTTAACGCCGGTAGATTTCCAAGTTAGATAAATAGATAAATACAACTGTCACTGTTTGTTATTTTCGTATACAAATAGGTATTTAATTTAAATCATTTTTTAGATAATATAAAGTAGGTACGAGATTAAGTATTTGTCGTAGGAAAAGTACACTATAAAAGGCCGCTCGTGCTTAAGATAAATTCGTGACTAAAATGGCGTTTATCAAATTTGATACATAATATACTAGTATCCTATAAAATTGTATTTTAACCTATTATATACATAATCTAAAAACATTAAAATAAGAAAACTAAAATTTATTACATAGAAAATCAGAAGGCAGAAAGACCTCGGTCGATAGCCTTTTGGTTTTTTCAATAAATATATTTACTACTACTAGAATCATTAAAAAAATGTATTTTATCTATTTTGGGCTCATAATGACTTCATTATAACACCGCTTTCGGCGATGTAATGAGATACTTTATCCCACCCAAAATTTTGATTTTATAGGTTGGCTATACTTTAAACAGCATAATATTTTGCATATTGGTTATAATATTTTTATGATTTTTCTAGTACTTACGGGACTTTTCTGGCAATAAATTTTGTTTAACACTAAAAAAAACTCTTTTTTTCTTCTTTAACATTAACAGCCGCTTATTGTAAATAAGTAAATTAAGGACGGCATGGCGAATCGGTTTTGACATTAACTGTCAATGACTGTGATACCATCTATCTAAAGTAAAATTCGACCAAATTAAATTTAAGGTATAAAATTAATTTTTTTTATAGAATTTTTGCAAAATAGCATAAAGAACTCATGTCATAAGACCTTTTGTCAAAATGACGTCTTATGACATTAGTTCTTTAATATACTATTTTAAAGTTTTAGTTTTGTTTTATCGCCGTCATATAGCGTTAGTGCGGCTTTTTTTAACACCCTGAATAATTTTATGATTTTGTATACCTACCTACCTACCTAGTAGGTATGCTAGTAATTTCAATAAATTCATTTGGAAAGTTTAAATGTTTATTAAAACATCGGGTTTAAAACAATACGTCTTCTTTCTTTTGATAAATTAAAAGAATATTTGGTATTTTAATAATGGTAAATAACACAAAATTGCAAAGCCAACTAAAAGACATAAAAAAACCTTTCGGGCATTTAGCTTTTTTAAAAAAAAGTAGAACCCCGACGCTCTTTTGTCTTCTATCTTGTTCGTCACGATCTTCAACTGTTATTGCTTTCTCCCCATTTAATTTTGTTCTCATTGTCGCGCTAAATTTTCGAATACTCGAGCGTTTAAAAAAACAATCGTTCAAAATTAGACTTTTGTTTTGAAAATTACCCGAGTTACTTTTCAAGTGGCTAAGGCCATTAAAATCCGCAATGTCATCGCCTCCACGCTCTCGCTCTTTTCTTTAGAACAATACACAACAATTGGTCGTTGTTTTATTATGCGCGGGGTCCAATTTTCTCTCAAAACAACGAAGTGCAAATAAACCTCGGAATAAACTAAGCAACAAAAATAATGTTTTTATTAAATTTTTTCTTGGTATTAAGTTCTTAATTACCTATGATATAAATCTTATTGGGAGTAGGTATATCGTAATTTTTACAGACAATTTAAAAAAAAACGCGCCGAAATAAACATATAAACAATCATATTAATTCAACAATTTTTTTAATTAAGCCATCATATGGGTGATTCTACAAAAGTTGGGCAACTTTTGACCTCATTTTGTTTATATAGTTTTCGGGGAAAATTAAACAGTATTTTGTTATGAGAACATAGATAATATAACAAATATACTGTTCCAGACCGGGCCAGTCACTTTTTCAAACAGTTTCTGAAATATCTTTGTTTTCTAAATTTGAATGCAAGGAAAGTGACGAGTATACCAGGGTCCTAATTAAATACATAATTTATTGGAAAATATAATATTTATTGCAACTTTGAGCATATTATACATTAAATATCTTAAAATCAAATAATACCACACATCAGTGGCGGCTGGTGGGTTTTGGGTATACCGATATCTCAATTATTAGATATGGGACCCACACCAAATTTATATGAGTTTATAATGATATTAAATAAACAAGTTCTGCGCAAGCAGAACTTAAATTGAAGTTTGCGAAAAAAGATAACCGAAACATCGAACATGGAACTGACGACACGGTACTGATGAATGGGATACAAATTTGAGATTATAATTCGGAATTAAGTATTTTACTGATATTTTTTATTAGTGGATGCTACTTATCAACAAATCACATATAGCTTTATATTAATTACAATTAAATATATATATACGTAAGAAAATAACTACTCAACACAGTACCTACTGAAATTTTGACTGGAACTATACGTTCATTCACCACAACTTCGCCGCTTGCATTGTTTTCAAGATGACTGTCGTGCAAAGGGCGGGCTCTGTAGGTACTTTTTTACCACACTTGAGTTAAAACGAGAACTTGACGTTTAAACTTCAATATTTCGCAAAAATTTTGAATTTTAACATTGGAAACAGAACTGACGGGTAAAAGTAAGTACAAAGATTATCAATTTACAAAAAATTGCTATTAGAATCTATGAAAAATACATTATTTAATGTTTTATAGTTTGTAGTGAAATTGAAAAATTTAAGATAAATTGAATATAGGTATTTTAAAATAAAATCACTCAAATATTTGATTCAGGAGTTGTGACACGCCAAGGTAGGTACTGATGTTTTGAATATTTATTATGTTTTTCTACAAACGTGCTTTTAAAAAAATACATTAAAATTGGGTGGACAAGTTAAAAAAACCCGGATCTTTTGTAATATACTAAAATCGACTAAAATATTTACAAAAAATAATAAAATACCTACATATGTATCAAGTTGTCCAACTTTTATAGAATCACCCATATTAACTTTATTAATCTTTGTAAAATAATTAAAATTCGGTTCGTAACAGCCTTTTATTTATTTCCTTCCAAAAAAAACTAATTTATTTCAGCTCTATAAGTCAGTCTTTTAAACCTTAAACCCCTTGTACCTACCTATTCAAATAATTGAAATCGAGTCCAAAACTACTGAACCATCGAAATCAATTTCCATTTAATTTTTTTTTCAGTCAAATTGTCTTCGTTTAAATTAAACGTCGTTTTCTTAAATCGTTTAAAAATGGGAATTGAAATCAAAGATAATGCAGAGAGCCATCGAGCAGGTAACGACATCAAACTTTTATCCTAATAAATTTGATTGAAATGTGCTGTTTCTTGAAATATTTTTGAGTTAATTAAGTATAATAAGAATACTAAGTTTTTCTAGGAAATGGACCTTTTTGGGAGCCCTAGGCATGTACTAGATGTGATCATAGACGTACCACTAAATTGAAAAAATAATATTTTAAGTAAATTTTTTGCTGAGATTTGGCGCCAAATGTAAACATTTTATGATTGATGACCGTATATTTATATAATTTGATTGACGCTATCTACAATCTATAAGATAAAAATTTAATACACCGACAAAGCGTGTTTTTTTTAGTATTTTTAAAATAATGTTTTGATAACTTAGTTAGTTTATAACGCGTGGGATCAAACAGAAAAATCTATTAACCATTACATTAAACATTTTATGTTTACTAAAATAGTCGCGTACGCTACTGACTCGAATTTCGGGCCTAGTCTCTTTTTCTTAACTTTCTTAACACATCTGCCTCACAAGTAATTATACAGGTAAGATCCCAAATTATATCTCTGTCGGCTTACTTCTTTCCTATCACGTGTTTTTATTAGTATTCGGGCGGAATTTCAGATTTTGTTTATACATATTATAAAATAATACCCACATGCAAAATTGTTTAAAACAAAATAAAAACAAAAAATTTCTCCAATAAAAATAGTTGACAGAATCATGTAGTCCTTTGTTTTAGAGGAAATAAAGCCAGTAAAATTACAAAGTTCTTAGGGAACAATTACTCTAATGAGATTTATAAGAAGATTAGTAATAAAATTAGCATTTTCTTTGCATGCACGGAACTTCAAATTTACATAAACTATTCAAAATAATTCGGAATCGTCGCCTCTAACCTAACAAAATGTTAAACGCGACAAAACAAACGAGGGGAGTTTAAATTTAATTGTTTCCTGTGCTGTGGCCTTTAGTGACTTACCTTTGTACAAAAAGCGTGTGTATCTTCTTCAGTCAAAAATCCTAATGTTATTTGCGTACTCTCAACGTAAACACTGCACATTTTCACCAGTTACACATTTTGTTAAAAATCATAGATTTGTCGCGACAACGGATTCGAACTTTTTCGGTACGAGCACAACTAATAAATTAATAACTTTATCGATACAAAACTAAATAAACAGCACACAAACAGGCACTTATTCCGAACTACACTATATTCGCCATGAGAATGTCGACAAATTAGGCTCCACCTGTGACACAACTGTTGAACTAATCAGGATACAATGTTGCCAGACCTCGTTTATTCTCTGATTCCCTCAAAGTTCTTAATTTTATGTGTACAGTTCTTTTTTTTTATCTGGACTCGTGTTTTTTTGTTAGGTTGGTGGCTTAAGCCAGTTTGACTTAGTATTTTTAGTATTTAAAAATGGTACTTCTGCTAAATAATTTAATTAAATTTACGATGTGGCTCCCGTCCCGAGGCGGGACTTAAGTTCAGTCCCGATTGACGTCACACACTGTAAATCGGTTTTTATTCCCCGAGATTTTATAATTTGTGTCAAGCTCGATGGCTTAGATGGTAGGGCGGTCGCTTGGCATGCGAGAGGTACCGGGTTCGATCCCACTAGAAGTTGTCAAACTTTTTTTATTTTTTTTATTTTATAAATTTGTTGTTTCTTTGTTAAAAAGTGTTTTATTTTTATCGTAACATAAATTTGCCCATTTTAGTTGGGTTTTTTGCTCAATGGGGTGGGGGGGGGCCCAATGGGGCGGGGTCGGTTGGGTTGTGTTGTTGAGTTTGGGTTGGTTTGGTTTTATGACGTAACTAAAGTGCCCTTAACATGTATACAGGTACAAATTAATATTATTATTTTATTATATCATAACAAATCTTAAAATTATGACGTCAATCGGGACTGAACTTAAGTCCCGCCTCGGGACGGGAGCCACAGCGTTAAATTTAATTAATACTTATAACAGCCCTTTTGAGGGCAAAACTTCATTTTGATGAAATAGACCTATCCCATAAAACAGACTTTTGGATAGCGCGTGCCTGAAGAAGAGTGGTATCTCTTTCTCTTTTATGTAATTAAAAAAAGACGACGTGACGACGTGCCTTTTCACTCACGCGCTATCCAAAAGTCCGTTTTATGGGATAGGTCCATTGGCGTATTTAGGATTTAGCTCCGGGGGGGGTCCAAAAAAAACTAACTAAATATGTACTAGGCTTTAATAACTATCTATTCATGGTATAGTTCTATTTCTGTTCGCGCCTCGATCATAACGACACGAGAAAGAGGTAGGAACGATATACCGCCGCGGACCCCCCCTAAATACGCCACTGGATAGGTCTATTCCCAAGCAACAAAATAAGTCGAATAGTGTCTATACTAGCACCAAATTGCCCTAAAAGGGTTGAAATTTACAAAAATTTAACCAAACTTTTGTGTTTGAGGTCGATATTTATTTGTGGGCGAAAAATAGGTAAAGAACTGGTTCTTTTTGGCTTGCACATATTCCCTCAAAGCCCTCGGACTTCAAGTTTTTGTTTCCTGGTCCAATTATGGATACGTTGCCCATTACTAGTTACCAACATTTTCCCTGCCTTTATAGTAAAAATAATTGGTCCCAGTTACCTAATGTACCCCTCTTCATCTACCTATATGTATTTATATCCTTAATGGTAAATCACAGGGGATAACCGTTAGTCAGACTGTTCTATTAATTTACCAATTTTCAACCAACTATTCGTACAAAATTCGTAAGGACAAATTTAGTAATTCTAACCCTAATTGCCTGAAGTTTTGGTTAAGGCATGTTTTGGTCAGGAGTCGGGCCAAGTTTTACCTATTTATATTTAAGTGATGTACCTTAAGGTCTAACTTACTACAATATTGGTATTGTAAGTCGATGCGGTTATATAGAGGTCGAATTTACCACCTCATTTAGACTAACAGGTCCTTTGGACTTATTTAGAATTTAAAGTTAGTTCTGTTTTTGTTGTTGTGAGCGCTGGAACTAGCAAGATGTCGCGAAAGTGTTTCAAGCCGTACATGGCATGTACGGCTTAAAACACTACTACAGGCTGACCACTAGCTATTATCGCAAGTTGAAAAAATGTTTAATATTACGAAAAGGAAATGTTAATAATGCTGTAAACTTATCCAGTGTTTCAACCGGTCCACTTAATATCAAGAAATCAGTTTGTACGGAAAATATTTTTTGTGAAAACAGATCGGAAAACACTTTTAACGAAGGGCAAATTGATTTAATCCCTTGCGAAGATAATTTTAGCAAAAGGGAAGAAGAACTGTTAGGCAAAAAGCTTTCTCTAGTAGAAGAATTAACTAATTGGGCGTTGTCCCATAAAATAAACCTAGATGCCACAACGCAGTTGTTGAATATTCTTAGAGGTTGTGGTCTTGATTTGCCTAAAGACGGCAGAACCCTACTAAAAACACCATCATTAATTCACGTTACCGAAATGGGGGCTGGAAATTTCTGGTATAATGGTCTAAGGAGTAATTTGACTCACGCACTCTCAGACCTTCAGGAATCCACTACCATTAACCTAATTTTAAATGTTGATGGGATATTATAGCAACTATTTTAAAATAGTCTCCCATTGTTAACTATACACACGAGCAACTAGGCGTGCTACAGCTGTTGACAGTTTTATTATACGCATGCGCAATTATGATAATGGCCTACAAAGTCGAAATCTGGGCACTAATTTACTTTATGGTTGAAAATAGGGCATTTATGGTTAAAAATAGGGCATTATTGTGCAATTGCTAATATACCTCACAATATTTATTCCCTTGTTAAGACATATCGACTACATAGGCAGTAATTTAGGTTATTTTAACTGAACATCAGGGAAAATAACTATTACAGGTCCAAATTATAGGGAAATTATGTTTTTAAGTTCAATACGTCGAAATCGCCATCTTTTCTGATAACCAAAACAGTTTACACAAAAGTATTAAAGGAAAAAATAATTTTATCTAACCACTGTTTGAGATTTTTTTTCTAAAATTGGGCTCTATACAACTTAAAAAAACTAACGAACTTAAAAACCACCTTTTCAGCGCTCCATAAAATAAAATAAGGAAAATTCCAAATTGACAAAAATTTAAAAAAAATGTTTTTCTTAAGTATTTTCTTCTGTTATTTAGCTCTACAGTAAGGATATTTGACAACAAAATTCAACTCGCCCAGTAATTTAGCCCTTAGGTAACTCAAAATACCCATTTTAAAAATAGACTTTAAAGATATATTTATGGTCCTAATAGTGTTTGTTAACTTGTACCTATATTTTTAGCATTATTTTGACAGAGATAAAATAGCGGAGAGTGGGATCGAACTAAAAGGACTTACAGGTTGATAATTGGTTATAGATTACCACTATTTTACGTCACAGCAACTTAAAATTGGGCAGCTTTGCAATAACAGTCTTGGTCATAATGCCTTCTTCTACTTCCAAAATACCTTAAATTTACTAACTTTTTATTCCCCACTTACGAAAATATTACGTAACTGTAACGTAAATTTGCCTTTAACAGGGATGGTATTAAATGGTCGATTGCCTTACAGGGGGTCGAAAATAGGTTATTTCGACCAAAATTGTTGCTTGGGTTATGCCAAATGCCACAATGGAAGAAAAAGTACATCGCCGTATGACATTTTTGGAGTAAAAATGTAACGAATTTGGTTTTATAAATATTACATCTCACATTATTCACCATTCAACAACATTTACGTTCACAAAAAATTTTAATTTTAAATTCTTTTCAAAGCGAAGATTATTATCCGCTAGGAATACTTTCTCTTCTGGGCCGTAAAGCAACCTATATTTAACTACTTTTTTATATGATTTTACTCGTCCCAGCACAACCAAAGCCAAATTAATTGCATTTTTAACTACGAATTTTGACAACTCAACTTGACAACTAATAATAATAAAGTAAACTTAACTTTACTTTTAACACTTGTAAAAACTTAATTTTCTGTAATTTTGACGAAAATATCAATTTTATTAATTAAATCCTTCAATACATTTAAAAATTCCGCCATTAAACAGGATTTAAATTTGGCGCGCAAAAGCTACAGCTACGCCATCTGGAAAGCGGGAATTGGTAGTTTAGTGGATTACTTATAACAAGGCACTTAGCTCTCTGGTGGTTTCTCTACAGTGTTGCCAGTCTAGTACAATTGTACTAGATCTAGTACTTTTTTAAAACATTCTATACCCTAGTACCCTTGAATCAAAATCTAGTACTTTTTGATATATGGGCCTAAAAATAAAATAACAATTTTTTACCCTACTTAATTAAAATTATTATAAATTTTAAACGGATACACGCAACTATAAATACACATTTAGAAACATTGGGCGGAATGATAATAGATGGCGACACCCACCTTGTGGCGAAACCTACTAAACCATAGATAACAAAGCCTTAAACCAACCAACTAAAGAGAGTTGTTGCGCATGACTGTCACTTGTCATTAAAAATTCTGATAGAAAGTTTCTGTATTTTAAAAAAAGTAATTAGGTATTAAGTATATATAATTATTATATAATATTAACACAGACTGTGAATATTAATAGGGGGATATTTAAAAAAAGTAATTAGGTATTAAGTGTATATAATTATTATATAATATTAATAGGGGGATATTTATTATGGAGAGGTAATTATACTATTTATAATATGAAAGTAAAGTAGTATTAAATGCAATAACTATATATTACTATTAAACTAAATGAATAAAAAAAATTTTTCACCCCTCCTTACCTAAAACTTTATTTTTGAGTTCTGAAAATATGGTACTTTTTTTTTAAATCTGGTACTTTTTTAACTGAAAACTAGTACTATTTGAAAATAAGTTCTGGCAACACTGTTTCTCTATGTTATTCACCATTCAACAACATTTACGTTCACAAAAAATTTTAATTTTAAATTCTTTTCAAAGCGAAGATTATTATCCGCTAGAAATACTTTCTCTTCTGGACCGTAAAGCAACCTATATTTAACTACTTTTTTATATGATTTTACTCGTCCAAGCACAACCAAAGCCAAATTAATTGCATTTTTAACTACGAATTTTGACAACTCAACTTGACAACTGCACAATGTAACCTACAATAATTTATACATAACCACAATAGACCTATATACCTAGGAATATTCCATAAAACGGACTTGGATGCGTGAAAAGGCACCTCGTCCTTTTTTTAATTATAAAAGAGAAAGAGATACTACAGTAGTAACTCTTCTTCAGGCACGCGCTATCCAAAAAGCTGTTTTATGGGATAGGTCTATTAGATTTATAACTAACTTAGTTTGTTTTAATCAATGCGACCAACTTGACAACTGTATTTACCAACCAAAACCCTAAATTTGCAACGTTGCCGCAGTCCAGATAAAAAAAACTTTATGTGTAAAATTATTATGGTTAAAATAATCTACTTATATATCTAATCTAATTATATAGTAATTTTTTGACATTTGTGTTGAGGCATTGCTATTATTTCAAAAATTAATCCAAAAATATCACACAAGAGATTATTGAGATAATTATTCCAGATTCTTTTCTCAAACCTGTTGCCCTTTGGCAATAAACAGTAATCTGTCAAATTATTTTCAATTTAATCTCACTCTCTTGTGATGTTACTACTTATAAGGGGCCGTCCATAAATCTCGTGACGCTAAATATAGTCAAAATTGACCCCCCTCCTCGTGACGAAATTTATGAACGGCCTCTAATTGGAGTTCTCTGTTAACCCTTTATAGGGCAAAAGGGTGGCATTCAAAATATTGCAATGAGCTTTGGTGAGGAGTTTACAAACAAGTTCAGTTTGATCATAGTACATTAAATTTTTTTTTTACCTGCCCCAAACTCAAAATTTTTGGTGGGACAATATTGTCCCAAAGGGCTCTAAACTCAAAATTTTGGTGGGATAATATTGTCCCAAAGGGCTCTTCATCTCTTTGAAATAAAGCCACTTAAAACTTTTATTTTTTTCCAAACGCGTACCTATATAAAATGAACAAGAAAATGCATAATAAAACAAATAAATTAAAATAAAATTTATTTTATACATGAAAAACAAATAAGAAAACGTATAAAATACAAATAAAACTATACATAAATACCTCTTCTAAAAATGTGTGTGGACTTATTACGCATATTTTTTATATTTTGTCAAATATCTTCCAAGCCGAAATAGGCATTACTTTGAAACTTGTAGATATTATTACAGAAAACCTTGTAGAAATAGGATAAGTTGATGTATTTCAGCTAATCTTTTAAAACTAATGGCAATTTTTTTCTAAACTTTATGTAAAAAATCGTTACTGGAGCCATTGTATGTTTCTAAGGCCGAAATATAAGAAGTACGAGTAAGTAGCCAATGTTAAATATTAAAAATCCATTAAACTTACCTTAATTTACAACACTACACACCTGCACAATGTAAAGCACTTTTTAGGTGAGAATAAACAAACCGTTTTTTAATTTGAAATGTGATAATTTAAAAATACATCTTCCCTGTGGACACAGGGACAAATACGTCCCACATTGGCACTTTTTATCACCCTCTATCAAACTGGGGTCACACTAAGGCAATTCAGCGGTCGGTATCTGCTCTACAGTGTCCTACGCATCTGCTAAAACAGGTGAGACACATCTCGTCCAAAGGACTTCTGTCGGAGCAGGGGTGGGACAATAACGTCCCAATACCCTATAAAGGGTTAACCCTTTATAGGCATTGAGAATGCAAATAGCAACCCACTCAAAAATTGTTTAATGCACAGTGTTCAATAAAACTCCTTTTGTTAGTGTTTTTTATTGTTTTATTAGTCTTGAAGATATCTCATGTGCATGTTCCTTTGAATTTGCAATTCTAGAGCCAAATTGTAAAGCCCTTTTCTTAAACACAGCAGCATTTTTTAACCCCAAGTGATATCCCAAACTTCTCAGCAAAATTTTTTCACCTACACCTTGAGGAACATCACTTGAAGGGTAAGTTCTAAAAAAATCACTTAAAAACGATAATTACAATAACCTATAGGTACATACTTTTGCCATGCATGTAAATTCCTAACAAATTCCACAACATTTTCATCCAAAAAAGGCGTTCTCAACTGCCTACCATGATCTGCCACCACTCTATCATCTCTTGCCAAGTTCCTATGCGATATATTCTGCCAATCTTGATTTAAAACGTCGTGTAAACCCTTCCAACCGTCTTTTTTTAACGCAGCCCTGTGCCTAGTGTAACCACCGAACAATTCGTCGGCCCCCATACCCACCAACAATACCTAAAATATGACGTTTTGTTTGAAATTCTAACATAACCTCAATAAATTGTCTTGACAACAGATGGCACGAAGGTGGCCATGATTGTTTGTCATGGCAAGGGGTCGTCTATAAAGTACGTCACACATTGAGGGGGGAAGGGGTTAAGACTTTGTGACATCGTTTGCACATGGGGTAGGGGGTACATACTTAATGGATGGCCCCCAACGACGGTTTCCACGATTGCAGTCTGTTTGTTAAACCAGTCAAAGACTCTGTGCATGATTGTTTAACAAAACAAAAGGACAGAATTGCTTCAAGTGACGTAAAATTACAAATAGGTCAGTTGTTAAGTATAGTATCCGCATTAGAAGAGTTTGATAGATAAATAACAGTAGGCCGTGAATTCAAATTCAGCGGTGCCAATGCCAATGTGGTAAAAATGAAACGTATTTTAATTAACAATAAAAGTATCATTAAAAACTAAAAACAACCTAAAAAGTAAATAAATATAACAATAGCTATTTTCGCGGAGCTAATCCCGAACTAATTCCGGACATCCTAGGCATGCGCTTTTTAAAATTTGGCGTTCAAATTGTAAAGTGCGCATGACAAATATTAAAATGCGCATGCCTAGGATGTCCGAACTAGTTTGGGATTAGCACCGCGAAAACACCTAATATAAATTGTTAATTTGATGTTATAATGACAAAATTACTGTAATATTTTTGCGTTTCTTAAGTTAGCAGCACAAAATTTAAAATGACAATTTAAAAAACTGTTAAAAAATGTTTCTTTTTAGATTTTCATAAAAAATATACTGCAATAATCAATTTTTCAGCCATCTCTTTGGTTGCTCGAGTTTAAAAACAATTTTTTGAAATAATCTATGGAAAATAACACTTGTGCTGAAGAAGTGTTATTTCCCACAGATTTTTCATAGATTATACGTTAAAGAAGTATTGCTAGTAGCGCCACCACTCGGTTTAGAGGCAGGTATAACGATACGCATATCGATATAATATCGATACATATTCTGCAAACACTGAATCGATATATCCTTTGCGTATCGTTAGTTTATATCGTTAATTTAAAAATCACGAATTAAGCAAAATAGAAAATATGCGAACGGAAAAAAGTTAAACCCAAAGACGTAGATAACTTTCTCTGTCTATGGTTAAACTCTCTATATATTACTCTCTATATATTACTATCTATTACATTATTATAGTTTTTGTTATTTATTACGTATTTATTCTGATCTGTGTTATTTTAAAAGGCGCAATTGGCCTTCTAAACTGATTTTTGTTTTTTTAATAAAGTTTATTTTTTTATTAAAACCAATTTCTTTTAAATTTAAACCTACAAAGAAAGAAACCGATTTTTTTTTATTCAGCTCGAGGCAATATAAAAATATCGATATTATCGATAATATTTTTTTTGTATCGATACTGTATCGATACACCCCCTGTATCGTTTTACCTGTCTCTAACTCGGTTGTTATCATAATAACAAAAGTATAACTTTTAATAATCAGCTGTCAAACGCGTGTTTTAGAGAATAAAGCCGGAAAATGTTAAAAAAAATATCGAAAAAAAAAACCGTGGCACAATTTGTTGTTTTGTTGGGTGTATTTCGAAATCCTGGGTTGAGTTTTTACCGGTTTTCCAATAAACAGTGTGAATCTGAATGAAGAAATAAATTGCATACAGTCTTTGTAAATATAAATTGTACCTATTAGATACAATAAATAGGTACACATTTTAGTAGTGATTAACGTGAAAGGGGTAAACATTTCAATTCAGTAAAAATCGTCAAACAAATAAGTCGTCTAAATTTATACACCATTTAGCATTATTAAAAGTGTTGATTAAGAAAGTCTCCACTCAACGGTAAAATACCATTATATTATGTATTATATATATATATATATGAGGCATTCCATGTCAACTCGGCCACCCCTTCTGTGCAAAATTGACTAAAGTTTTTCGAAACGTGCAAGTGATGAATTTTTAGCTTATCGTCTTAACTTTTAAATGCCGAGTGGTATTTTGTAAAATTTCAAAATGGCGGTGTCAATATAGCGACTGCAAGCAATAGACATCATTTTAAAAAATCCATAATACGTAGTTTACATTAACTAACAACTTTATAAAATTAAAAATTGAATTTTATTTAATGCACTGATCTATTATCAGTGATTCTATGTATTTTTTACCGCTGATTACACAATGGTTCGCCCCTAACCTCAAAAAAAACTTAAAAAGCAGTTTCTCTCGTAATTTACTCCCGCTTAATGCATTTTTGATAGATGGTTTAGCATTTGTTTTTTGTATTTCTCATTGCCTAATATAAATATGGCCTTACCTCAGAGTCGACATAAAACTGTACGTTCCTAACCTAAAAGAACTCTCAAAAAATGTATTTTTACCTTCTTTACAGCTGTTTAAAGCATTTTAAAGATTAGCATAAGGTTACATTTTTATCGCCAAGTACGTAAATAATCCAACTATTTACTGCACACAAAGCAGTTTACCCCTAACCTTAAAAATATTCTCTACAAATTAGTTTTCTGCAGCATACAGACGCTAAAGAAAATTGAAATATGGGATTTATAGATTTATTTCCACACTTTTATCGCTAAAAATGTTTATGATCTTTGATGGCAGTTCTTTGTTAACCTAAAAAAACTTTGCATCCTACCTATGCAATAAAAATGAGGTTTAAATGATATGTTAAAAATATTTACAGTAGAAACCACCAATATATGAAAGTGACTCATCGGGTGCCGAACATATCTCAGACATGCTAGCAGTAATGTTTTACTTGTCTTGTACATTCGATGCAGCGGTTAATGTACTCACACGTAGGTTTTTAAGCATCCGGTCTAAAATGCGCCATCTGTGATGTAAAACTGCCTAGGTGTTCGACAAAGATGGACATATGACGCGTGTCCTAGCTTGTTACTTATTTTTGTTGGAATTCATTAGAGTTCGTGTTTTAGGCAATTTATTTTATTTTATTACATAGTAAGGCAACCAACTCTACCGTCAGCCATTTGTTTTTATATGTCATATGATCTTTGTTTTTGCATATCGTGTTTCTGCTGTGTGTTTACGGATTAATAATCGTTTTAGACGTTGTAGTGCTAGTGGTTTTTATTGCAATTGTTATTGCACGTTTATTGGACTTTATTGCAATTGTTATTGTACGTTTTTTGGACTTTAAATAAACGGTGTGTGTACGGATTAATAATCGTTTTAAACGTTGTAGTGGCAGTGGTTTATATTATGTAACACAGGTAGATGTCGTATAAAAATCCTTACCTAGAAATTCTAGGCTAGAATACAAAAATATTTTTATTATATAAATTTTGTACTAGTATTAGTTTAATACATTCTGAAGAAGCTACTGTGTAGCGAAACAATGATCAATATTTAATAAATTTCGTAATACTAACGCAAGTTGTTTTTATATCCACACAATTTAAATATCTTTTACTTTGTACTTGACCTGCGTAAACATTTTGTTTTTTTGTCACCAATTCTGAAATATTTGCGTTTACAGTTAAAAGAATAGTATATTCTGTAACAAGTTTGGAATACGGCATATTCCGCTCGAGTGAAAAGTTTGTCACACGAGCCGAAGGCGAGTTTGACGGTTTCACGAGAGGGGAATATGCAATTCCAAACGTGTTTTAGACTATACTTTTTCTACGTTTCCAAAAAATACCATGGACAAAGAATTTAATTGGAAGAAAGTGAGGTTGGATCGGTCTAAAATTTGTTAGATATTAAAAACAGAGATGTCGCCACAAGTGTACATTCTGTCATCAGATGAATATTTCATTAAAGTTAAAAGAAAAGTTTATTTATTAATTAGTTTCTAAGAAAATTACTTTTTTTTTAATTATCGTAGATGTTAATTATTAAAATTTAACTTTAAAAGCAAATATATCAGAAGTATAGCAACCAATATTACACTCAAATGTGTACTATGTTTAACTTTAAAAGCAAATATATCAGAAGTATAGCAACCAACATTACACAAGATTTTTTACAAATACTTATGCCCCCGTTAGAACAGCACTGCACTGGACCGTGACCTTCGATAGATTGCTTCGTACGATTGTGCCTGATGAGTCACGTTCATATATTCGTGGTTTCTACTGTACTATATAGTAGTTATTACATAACAATATGCTGAATTTGTAATTATCTATATAAGATCTAACGATAATTAAATTCGGAGCCATTTGGAGCATTCGAATACTTTTTTAAGAGTACATTTTTATTTGGTAATACCACAAAAGAATATTATTTTTGGTACGAATTTAATTATCGGTAGATGTAGATTATTACAATTTTAGCATATTCTTATGTAATAACTACTATATAAAAAATATTTTTAACATACGATTTATGCAAAGTTTTATAGGTTAACGAAGAATTGCCGTCAAAGAAAGATTATAATCGTATTTAGCGATAAAAAGTGTGGAAATAAATCTATACATCCCATATTTCAATTTTCTTCAGCATGTTGATCTGCAGAAAATTAATTTTTAGAAAATATTTTTAAGGTTAGGGGTAAACTGCTTAGTCTGCAATTTATAGTTGGATTATTTACGTACTTGGCGATAAAAAGTATAAAAATTTAACCTCATGCCAATCTTTAAAATGCTTTAAACAGCTATAAAGAAGGTACAAATACATTTTTTGAGAGTTATTTTAGGTTAGGAACATACAGTTTTATGTCGACTCTGAGGTAAGGCCATATTTATATTAGGCAATGAGAAATACAAAAAACAAATGCAAAAATATGTATCAAAATGCATTTAGGGGCTGTAAATTTCATAAAACTGCTTTTTAAGTTATTTTTTGGGGTTAGGGGCGAACCATTGTGTAATCAGCGGTAAAAAAACATAGAATCACTGATAATAGATTAGTGCATATAATCAAATTCAATTTTTAATTTTATAACGCTGTTAGTTAATGTAAACTACCTAATACGGTTTTTTTAAAGTGATTTATATTGCTTGCAGTCACTATATTGACACCGCCATTTTGAAATTTTACAAAATACCACTCGGCATTTGAAAGTTAAGACGATAAGCTAAAAATTTATCAGTTGCACGTTTCGAAAAACTTTAGTCAATTTTGCACAGGAGGGGGTGGCCGAGTTGACATGGAATGCCTCATATATAATATTATGTTGCCATGGCATGGCATGCATGCATGAACTCGTATGTATATTTTGTTGTTTAAAATGCAGTTGTCGGCGTTTTTTAGAGAACTCAAACATAAAAATGGTTGATTTTAAGGTTATGTTTGAGCTAAAATTATTACCAATTTCTTAAAAATGTCCAAACTTAAATATGAATTATATTAGGTAAAGTTATCATTATATTCATTATATTCTGCACCAGCAAATGTACTTACCGAATTGTATCCTTTGGCAAAACATGAAAATGCAACGATTTAGTTCTTTAATTTTATTTACAATTAAAAACACAATAATTCACCATGATCCCTTTGATAAAATACAGTTTCTTAATCAATGATATAAGGAATAATCAATCAAAATCGAGTACTAAAAAAGTTTTTTAATTTTTTCCTTGCACAAATAACGTGCGCCATTTAGATGTGCAATTGAACAAAATTTGTCGAGTAAGACTTCTGACTTCCTTTTTTTTTCTAAAAAAACTAGGTACCTATATATTTAAAAATGATGTATAATCTGTGCTTTAAATGTATTGATGACAATACTTAAATTCAAGCAAGTCCACCAGATAGCGCGCGCGTTTCGAAAACCCGATACTTCTTTAGCGTATTTCAAAAATTCGTTTCTAAACTTAAGAAACAAAAGAGGATCATGTTGTTAGCTTAAACATTGATTATTTAGTTTATTTTTATGAAAATCTTGGGCGAGCTCGTGAGATACAAAATAAAAAATGGCGTATGAAAACAAATGTAACTTAAAAAATTATTTTCTTAGAATCTGCACAAAATCATATATTAAATTTTGAAGACATTCTCCAAAAACTCTTCAAAAGGAGAGACTACTAAAAGTGTTTTTCACGATTTACTTACTCTACAGGGTGATTCGTATTCACTGGTCCTTCCTCTAGCGGCAAACCATAATGCGCAACCCAAACTATCATCTAAAATAGTGTTTAACGGGTAAATTAAGTCCGCTATGTGATTTTGTCTTTCCAAATTTAGTTCTTTTTGCGTTACATTTACAGACACGAAATTCCACGTTCGTTTAGGACACAACAATTGCAATTCTTGTAGTGTTTGAAGTCCTGTTAATCGGTCAGGCGTTTGATAATTATTTTTTTCGTCGAAAGCTACGTTTATCAAGTCTATGGGTCTGTTTTTGTCAATGTATTTATCTGATAAAAGAGCTAATATTGAGCAATCTATTCCGCCAGAAAATAAAACACCTGTTGTTGAATGGTTGCAGTTATTTTTGTTTTTTAAACAATTTTTACAATGTTTTGGCTGTGTTGATATGCGGGTTTGTAGGGCATTTTTTAGTAGGTTTTGGAGATGTTTCATTGATTTAAACCATTGTTTGTCTTGCAGAAGTGTGTCAAGTGGATTTTCTTGACTTAAACATTCAAAACATGATAAATCTAGAGGGTTTTTAAATTCTGTATTCAACTGTAACGGTATTTGATAATTTATTTCTATAATAACACCCAAAAAATCTTGTAATTCTTTTAATTTTACTTCAAAATTACTGTTTTTATATTGCCATGGATAAATGTAGTATTTATTATTTGTTAAATCATAACAAAAAGTACCTATGGACGGTAATTCGATAAAATCGCTTAAATTACGCTTATAAACACTACTCAAAACTAAATTAGGACCACTTTTGCCAACTAAAAGACTTCTACGGCCATAAATATCCCTACCAAAATATAATTTATTTTCTATTTTATTCAAGTAAATAAATGCATAAGGGCCATGTAAATTACTTAATGTCCTTGCCATTTTACCATTACTGTTTAATAAAGCTTCATGGAATAATGTTGTGTCACCTATTTCTAGTTTTAACTCATTATTTATATCACCACCAAAAATATCACCATTGTAAATAAAAATTGATTTATCATCTTCTATGGGTTGTTTTGTTATATTTTTACCCTGTAACCATAAAACACTGGCTGCCAAAAATACTTTTATATTTTCAAACGTATAGTTTCTGTAATTGTTGTAATCAGGCCCCCTTTTTAGTGTACCTTCTCTTATAGCTTCAAACTAAAAATAAATAAAAATAAAAGTTGCTATAAATTATTTAAAATAATGCTTACTTCTTTTGGGGTGTTTTCATTACAGTTTTTATTACCAATAAGGCAAAATATACCACACATTTTACTATTTATTTACGAACGTGTAAAGTAAGGTTATGTTATGTTGTTTTTTTAATTGTTTGGTCATAGGCAACCCAGATGTCATGTTTGCACGACTCTCCCTCAGAGACAGTACTATGGAGCACACGTTTTTAAGTTATTATTTGAAATGGCTCATTGTCAAGTGCTCTATCAGAAAACTGATATAATACTTTTCCCCTTTTTCTTTTTGTTTTTTTTTCAATATCCTTTTTCTTATTTGAGAAATTGTAAGTTTGGTTTAGGTAGATAACAAATTTATAGAAAAAGAACTTTTAGATAGCAATGGGTCCAGTGAAGGAAATATCTTGTGATGTAAAACTATACGAGTTTCTTTAGATTTTGAGTTAAGATTTCTTATTTACAATGGAGTTTAAATAAAAATTAAAGCGTAAAGTTTTGTCGGGGCAAGCTAGAGGTGAAATGAATTGTCTTTATTTTTATGCAACGAGAAGCGGCACTATTCTTAATTAAAAAAAAATTTCAAGAGCATGCTGCATTAGCAACTTCCACTTTTTTCACTCCCACCGAAAAAAAAGTTCCAACCTTACGGAGAATTTAGGATCGCACGATTAGTTAAGAAAAGTACACGGAGAAAAAAATATAATACCTAAATGATATTAGAAATGTAATACTATTTATTATATTTTACGTTAAATATAGTGACAGCTAAATCGTATGATAAATTTTAATATAAAAATATAATTAATATATACCTACTACTTAATCAACCGTATCATAACTTCAATCATATGACGATTATAATATTTTTATTATACCTACTTATTAAGATCCAGTTTTTTAATTTATATAATAATTTAATTTACTTTCTATTATACAAATTTTAATATACGTTTTTTAACATACATTTTTGTCCGTGTAGGTAATGAAAAAAAATAGGGTGTTGATAAAGATGAAAATTTTGATGTAAAAACCAGTACCTAATACAGTTGCATATTGCAAATGTATACCTAGGTAGTAGACATCTTTCCGGCAGGATTGGGGGAGACGCAGATTAAATTTGACAGTTTACCTACTGACTTTGAATCATTAATTCTTTTATTAAATTTTAGGACTAACCAATTAACAACGTATCTTAGATGAAAGACTTTTTATTGTTTACCTACTTTTTCTTTGATAAAGTATTTTAACATTTTTATCTAATTTAATTTGATTGGATAATTTTTGATATGTTTTAATATCTGAAATAATCCTTCGTTTCTGATAATCTATGGAAATGGTTTCCAAATTATCCAGAATATTTTTCAAATACGATTTAGTTCTTTTATCGTATTTCGACATACAATCCACCTTATCATCAAATTTACTTTCTTTAAGAGGTTTAATATTCAATAATGTTTCTAAAAATAAAAATGCAATTTTATATTTATAATAATGTAGGTATATATTTTAATATAAATACAAATGTATAGGTATGCATTAAATAAACACTGTTTCTAAAACTTACTAAATATGTTGGGAATGGAGTTCACAATACTTTGTACTTTTCCGGCTAAAAAAACAATAACATGCGTAACAAAATACGATTTTATCATTTTTTCTGCAAAATCCTTTAAAGATGTGTTATTGTCTCTCATCAAATTTTCAGGAGAAGTAGCCATAATGTCTTGTGAACCAGTAGGTGTCTGATTTTCAATGATAATTTTGAACTCTGTGTTTGGAGTTTGAGGACGTTGGCCCAACGAGTTTAAAAATCTATCCAAGTCTATTTTTGAGGTTTTTGACTGATTTTCCTCTGATATATATTTTAAAAATTCTAAAAGTTTTTCCAAATTTGCTGGCTTTTTTTCAAACTCGACGGAACTTTTCGAGCATAAACTATTTCCACATGACTCGCTTTTTAGTTCCTCGAAAACAGATATTTTTTCCTGGAGAAGATATCTTTTGTTGTAGGTCAAAATTGGAGAGTTTACTGTATAACATCTTAGCTTTTGATAGTTTCTTAGATTCTGCAAATTTGGAATATACACGTTCACATTTTCTACGCTTTTTGAGGAGGTGTAGACTCTGGTTAGATTTCCACCCATTTATTATGTATATTCTCTAACAAAAATCCATAATAATTGTCAAAAATTGAATTTTGAGTGAATTAAAATCATGGAAACTTCGATTACAAACCTAAAAATTTAAGAAGTGTTTAAAATCATCAACAATAGAAAACATCAGAATTTTTTATGTCATTTTAATAAGTTCATGTCAAAATTTCTGTGTAAAATTCAACAAATTTTCGAACCAATTTATTAGAAAAAGTCCACAAAATTTCCGTAAAAATATCATGCCAATATGAGTGACGAAGGTGACCATGAAACCCCAACAGATTCACCGATAGATAAATTAGACGAAATAAAGTTTTACTCAAAGCTAGCTGATCCACTATTGATTGCACTACCATGCGGGACTGGTAGGATTATTTAAAAAATGTAAAATTCTTATTTGGAAGCTTGTATTTTAGATAGAGCCAGGGCCTCAGCATGGGTTGAACGTCTAGGAGACACCACATTAGCTGAAGAATCCCTAAGAGTAAACTATCTAAAACTCCTGATCTTTGTTCTGCAGAGAGGACAATTGATTGGCATTTTCGCTGAAGATCCCGCCGAATACACAGAACTTGTCGACTTTACTGCAAACTTCAACGTAATAATGTAACTGAGTTAAATTCATACAATTATGGAATTTTCTTTCAGATAAACGATTTTGCAAGATGCATGGTGGAAAGCGCAGAAAAACTGCGAATAGAAGCCATAGAAAACGAGATGAACGGTAATGTTAGTTTAACGCCAATGCAATCTGATTTTTCGGAGGACAAAAAAGAATATTGTTCCTCCCAAGACATAATAAATTTTGGAGTACACACATACTATGCATTTTCTGGAGAACCATTTACTAGATGGCAACAAGCCAGCAAGGCTTTAGTTCCAGAACGTAATACAATGATTACCTATATCTGGCGCTGGGTTGTAATAAAAATTTAATACCGAATTTAAAGAATTGACCACATTTTGGAGATTAAAATTAGATATATGACTATTTTGCTTCGAAAGAGTTAGGACAATTTATTTGGTAATATTAATTATTCTTTTGTTGTTAATCTACGTTAAAAAGAAATGTCAAATATAAGGTAGGTTCGAACAAGTTTTGGTCCATTTTGAAATAAACTGAATATTCTCCATTATGGTTATTTATGATTAAAAATTGAACAAATTAAGCTCTCTATATAAATATAACTAAAATTACTATAGTATAATCGATATTCATTAAAGAGTTTGATGTTGTAGCCAGGAGAACTAAACGTTTTGTTAGTATAAATAAAATAATTTTTAACTTTTACAACAAAATTACTCCAAACTACAAATTTTGAGTTACAATTATTAAATTTTATGTATATAATATATAATTTCAGGGTTAAGTGGTAGAAAAGCTAATGCTGAACATCGCCCTTTGATCATTGATCAATAACCCTAAAAAAACCTCAATTTTAATGTCAGTGACAGATATCTAACCTCAATTTTACTGAAAATGGCAGACACCTAACCTCAATTCTACTGAATGTGACAGATACCTAACCTCAATTCTACGCTTATTCATGCCAGTGGATCGATGCAATGCTGTCGGATTTACAGCTGTAGTTGGTAATATTTGATTAAATTTAAATTTAAGACCAGAATGTCATAATTAATATTCTAAAACTTCCAGTGCTACAAAAAGGCAAACTTTTAATAAATATCGTAATTGCGTCCCTGTTAACTGTATAGATATATAGTGTACGCTACACCTTGCCGAAAAACGAAAAATAAATCACCAAACAGTTTAATTTTCGTTGACACATGAAAAAATTGCAAATCTTATTAACATGAACATAGACATGAAGACTAAAAACGTAATTTTTTTTCTTTTTTAGAAAGTTGAACCCACGGTTTTACTCGGTCATCTCTTATTCTTCTGCGTCTCTCACGTTCTGCTTGTCTTTTAGCTTCGTTGGTCAACTTGTTTCGTGGTTTTGTCATTTTAATTAATTTTTCACTGAATTGAAATATTTTAAATTGGTTACATGTAAGGGACACGACAATGACGAGCACGGTAATGATGATTTTAAGGTTAGAGTGTTTTACAATGTTTATTCGAAAATGTAATGGAATTTTCAAGTTACGTTTGCTTTTTGTTAATGCAAGACTCCTTTGTATCAATGTAAATATTTTGTATGTCCATAAACTTTGAAATAAACTTACCCCGACAATGACGAACTTAGACGTAACAAGCCGTTTTCGTTTTCATTCGGCGCACGTCACAACTTTATGGTTTGACATATGCTAGTGGACGTTAGAAAGGCAGGATATTTCCATATCAGACGTTTGAAAACTTCCGGCATTTTCCGAATGTATCGCGTATTAAAATATGAAATTAGACACATTTTAAGTAGCCACGGCAATGACGCTCATGGGTGTGAACAAAGTTTAAACGGCATTAAAAGAAAAGTTAACATTCTAAAATGCAATTTCTTGCTTGCATTGTATTATTTTGTATTTTCTTCGTCTGTGTTAGACAGGATATTGCAAGATTTAATTTGAAAATAAATGTAAGAAAGTAATATGTTGTTGTTCTTGGAATGTGAACAAGGCACGGTAATGACGTTTGCGACACAAAAATTAAAATATATTTTTTACTATGCTCGTTTAGACTAAAATAAGTAAGGAATCAAGTAAAAATAGTTAGTTAAACTAGACATCAAGTATTTTATTTTCAGTGGGATATTAACTTTTGAAATAACAAGCCAGAACCGATTGAATTACACTTTTGAAATATTCACCCATATATGGATCTTATTCTAGAAAAACTATAGTTTATAGTTTTTAAGATAAGGGCTAAATAATTTAATTCTGTTATCTCCATAATTTGGAAAGCTTGATTCAATCAAGTTGATAGGTAGGTTTTTAAGGCGCAAAGTATACTTCTATGGGTTATTTGTTTATTTAAAAAGCTACAAGGTTGGTTAAATTAGAGCCTTCCCATTCTTGGTTTGCTTCCTTTGAAGGTAGATGACGAATTGTGTGACAGCATCCCAGTTTTATATCCTCTCTAGAATCTTTCCGATGACAGTATTTCCCTTTCTTGGCTGCATATCAGCAACATTGGCGAGAATTGTTTAGAGTACCTCATATATTGTCCTGACTCTCCCACAACAAAAAATAGAGAACAATACAATTTAAATCACGAGTACAATAAAAACATCGTAGTGCCAGATATGATGAATATCAACTTGTGCTAACGAACTATTTTACAGATTATATTATCAAAGATGTGCAAGGAAAAGTTTGTGTTTGCGATCCTGGTAATTTAAATAATATTTGTTGCATCACAAATACATTTTCAATTATTATTTATAGCTGAAGAGCCAAAAGAATGTCAAGTCCCTAAACCAGAGTAATAACCCTTTTATTCATACGTCAAATAAAAATTCTAATATTGTGTTCTAATTTTGCAGAGATAAACGTAAACGTTACGGCATGATACCGCCTGTCCATCCGATCGGCAAAGTGGAGGAAGAGAAGAGGGACGTTCCGCATCCGCTTTGGGGCTCGTACATTATGGATCTGAAGGAACGGGCCACGATGAAGTCCACGAAAAACAGCTGCCTGGCCAAGGACGCGGCCGGCTACGCGGCCACGCGTTCCGCCGAGCTGGCCGACTCTTTGGGAAAACAGTTCGACGACATCCAAACGCGATTGGACAGCATGAAGCAGGAAGTCGACGGCTGTTCGGGGACAGTGAACCTGTGCAGCAAGAAGAACAGAAGACCGTCGAGGTATTACGGCGAGGATGAAATTCATACTCCCGAAAGGCTTTATGGAGGAGGTCTCGATAGCTATACAATTGAAATGGATGATGATGATCATCTTGAAAGGCTTTATGGAGGAGGACTCGATAACGACACCATTGAAAGTGTTAACAAGTCTTGTTCCGAAATGGAACAGCAGATCAATCAGTTGATCAAGAAGTTACGAGCAAACGATGATAAAAAGAAAAAAGGCAAACCCAAAATGGAAAAGGCTTGCAAAGGTGGATTTATCATTTATTTGATTTTATTTTAATAAAATCTATTCATTTTTTAAGATTCTGAAAATACGGACACGGAAGGTAGTTTTTATTATTGTTTATAATTATGGAGTTAATAAGTAATGTTCGTTTTTTTTTGTGGAACCTGATAATTTAATTCAGTTTTTATTGGATCATATCCCAATGCGTCCAAATAAAAAAACGAATTTTACTAACGAAAAAGACAGAGCAAAATTTAATTCTTATTGTAAATACCAGGTGTCTCACGTTAGACAATCTAGTCAATTTCTGAACCTATTACACAGGCCGACAAAAATAAAATTTCTGTTTGGTGCATGGTAACCAACAACTTTTTAAGGGTAATTTAGGTACGCTGAATCCAAAAATGAACATCATTTTGCTCCATCGGCTCTTGTTTTTGCGATGTAGAATAAAAACCATTTTTTTCGATATGCGCACATTCAAATTCTTATATATATTCTTTTAAACTTCTAATTTAAGCAAGGATAGTTGGGAATGTTGCTATGGTTCTTTATTAAACTAAAAAAAAATACCATATACATTGATAATGGTATTTGCTTTAAAAAGAAGAAAATTCGGATATTTTTAAAATTCAAAGTGATACAGCATGATCAATTTTTGCCCGATTTAAATAAAATTTACCCTATTTGTAGCTCTATTTATCTACTTTATATTGTTAAAATTTCAATGCAATAAAAATTGAATGAGAGTAGTGCTGCCGTGCTAAGCTAAACCCCAGTATCTGCAATATTAAATAAAAGATCATTTCCATTGTTAAAAACAATAAAAACTATCTTTTGTTTATTTAATATTGCAGATACGGGTTTTTACTTTAGCACGGCAGAGTGTATGATAGTAGAGTATTGAGAGCAGCAGCAAATACTCTACTTATACTCTCCTACACTAAAACTAATAAAAAAAAAACAATAATATTTTTGACATTTTATTAGACATGCCTACTTAAAATCAGGTCTAAAATCTTAGGCACAAAAATTGTGCACTTAAATAGGCTCTGTGAATATTAATAGCTATTCACGGAGTTTATTTAAGTGGTACACATAGTATCCAATTTTGGTTGATTTTATTGTCATGTTGCCAATTTTTATTTGATTGCATTGAAATTTTATCAGAATAAAGTAGATAAATAGAGCTACAAATAGGGCAAAAATTGATTATGCTGTATCACTTTGAATTTTAAAAATTTCCGAATTTTGGCTAAAAAATAGATTTTTTTTCGATGAAAGCAAGATTTTTAAAGAGAATACAATTATCAATGTATATGGTATTTTTTTTACAAATTAATAAAGACCCATAGCAACATTACCAACTATCCTTGCTTAAATTAGAAGTTAAAAAAATATATTTAAGCATTTGAATGTGCGCATATAAAAAAAATAGTTTTTTGTCTACATCGCAAAAACAAAAGCTGATTGAGCAAAATGATGGTCATTGTTGGATTCGGCGTACTCAAATTACCCTAAAAAAGTTGTTGACTACCCTGCACCAAAATGGCTGTCGGCCAGTGTTATTAAACCTACGGCGGGCGTGATGCGGTGTAGGACACCGCAACTTGATTCTCTTACAGATTAGTTTTGACTCTTTTAACCATCCTAGGCAACACAATTTTGATTTTAATCATATTAAAGAAATTGTACTTTTCCTAAACGTTTTTAATTGGGAAAGTGGCTCAGTCTGAAAAAAATGAGTGATGTTCACAATATTAAAATACATTCTATCAAAAACAAAATATCTAACACTACTTAAAAAATCAAAATATCGAAAATACGAAATGTCGAAATGAAAATATCGAAATTCTATGAAATCGACATTTTTAATTTATCGACTCACAAGTTATCGAAAATAAAATCTTGTCTGCTTAAAATATCGATTAACATAATATGAACATTAAAAAACAACACCTTACACTGATATACAGTGCCACTCCCGGAATTTTGTCGCCGGGCCGGGCTGTACGCCCGATATAGTCTAGTGGAGTGCGGGACAAGGAGGGAAAACATTTTGGTGTCAAGGGACATTAAACTGACTCAAAACTAAGTACAATACGGAGTCTCTCTCAACCAGGGATTTAGTAATAACCCCATTAATTTGGGGATTAGAAAACGACTGATTTTTCTAACGTGAGTAACGCAGTAAATTTTGTAATTTCAGAGTTATTCGTGCTTCGAGTAACAGGTAAAAATACCTTTTCAATTCTTTATATTTTTTTGTAAAAATATTATTTCTTTTCTATAGGGGGAGCCGATTCAGGTATTATTATTCCTAATATTATTTTTATTTATGTTACCAATGATCTATTTTTTAGATTGTACCTGTACAAGTGAGTTTAATCAAAACTTAATAGATAAATTAAATTTTGCTCTACTGCTTTATTATGCATTCGTATTAGTAAATATTTTATTACTTTTATAGCTTCAGATGAGGACACTCCAGGTAAGGTTTATCCTTTAAAACATATTTCCTGAACCCCTTGCATCATAAATTACATAATATAAAATATTTGTTTTTTTGCATAGGTCCTGCTTATGGTCCTCAAGTAAATAGGCCAGAGCTAGCCTACAACAAATATGTTAACACAAGGCTGGAAACCTGCAATAAGCCGCCAATATATCCTTCTTCATATGTAAGATACCTTTTTTCCGATAAAAACATATTTTTATCATATCTTTTTGAAAATACTTTTTCTTAGATACTTATATGGGTGATTCTACAAAAGTTGGGCAACTTTTGACCTCATTTTGTTTACATAGTATTCGGAGAAAATTAAACAGTATTTTGTTATGAGAACACAGATAATATAATAAATATACTGTTCCAGTCCGGGCCAGTCACTTTTCAACAGTTTCTGAAATATCTGTGTTTTCTAAATTTGAATGCAAGGGAAGTGACCAGTATACCAGGGTACTAATTAAATACATAATTTATTGAAAAATATAAGATTTATTGCAACTTTGAGCATATTATACATTAAATATCTTAAAATCAAATAATGCCACACATATACCGATATCTCAATTATTAGATATGACTCATATCATATGAGATCCACACCAAATTTATATGAGTTTATAATGCCATTAAATAACAAGTTCTGTGCAAGCAGAATTTAAATTGAAGTTTGCGAAAAAAGGATAACCGAAACATCGAACATGGAACTGACGACACGGTACTGATGAATGGGATACAAATTTGAGATTATAATTCGGAATTAAGTATTTTACTGATATTTTTTATTAGTGGATGTTACTTACTACTATCAACAAATCACATATAGCCTTATATAAATTACAATGAAATATATACGTAAGAAAATAACTACTCACCACAGTACTGAAATTTTGACTGGAACTATAAGTGCATTCACCACAACTTCGCCGCTTGCATTGTTGTTTCAAGATGACTGCCGTGCAAAGGTCGGGCTCTGTAGGTAATTTTTTACCAACACTTGAGTTAAAACGAGGACGTCTTTTAAACTTCAATATTTCGTAGGAAATTTGAATTTTTACATTGGACACAGAACTGACGGGTAAAAGTGATTACAAAGAATATCAATTTTTTAAAAATTGCTATTATTCGAATCTATGATAAAATATGAAGAATACATTATTTAATGTTTTATAGTTTGTAGTAAAATTGAAAAATTTAAGATAAATTGAATATATTTTAAAATAAAATCTAATATTTGATTCAGGAGTTGTGACACGCCAAGGTACTAATGTTTTGAATATTTATTATGTTTTTTTACAAACGTGCTTTTGAAAAAATACATTAAAATTGGGTCGGCAAGTTTAAAAAAACCTGGATCTTTTGTATATACTAAAATATTTACAAAAAATGTTAAAATACCCACTAGGGTGGTCCAAAAAAGCGAAATTGATTTTACAGATTGTCTCACCCCCCAATTTTTTTACCTCCAACATCAATAAAAAATTCCCAAAATTTTAAGCCTCTAGGTGTATTAGAAGGGAGTGCTCATTAGCTAAGAGATTTCAGTTTTTTTTTAAGTTTATTTAAAAAAACCATTACGCCATCTTTTCACTGGTTAGATAAAATGTTATGCCCTATACATTAATGTTACAATTACCAAAGAATATTATTTACCTAAACATATATTTCTTACACACCCTTACCTTTAGTACAGCCCTACATTCCGGACAAAAAACTAGTTCAATCAGCTAATCCTGCACCTTTCCCTAAGAAACTAAAAACTACACTTTACAGTTTAAATGTCATAAGTGCTCCGGAAATTCCAATTTTTATTCGATTTAAAATATGATTGAATTTTACAAAAACTCCACAATCCCCTTGTTGCTAGCTGCATTAAAACAAAAGTCTCAAACGCTGGCTTTGGTCGTTTCTGGGCCAGGGCCAGGGCTAGGGCCAGGGCCAGGGCTAGGGCTAGGGCCAGGGCCAGGGCTAGGGCCAGGGCTAGGGCCAGGGCTAGGGCCAGGGCTAGGGCCAGGGCTAGGGCCAGGGCTAGGGCCAGGGCCAGGGCTAGGGCCAGGGCTAGGGCCAGGGCTAGGGCCAGGGCTAGGGCCAGGGCTAGGGCCAGGGCTAGGGCCAGGGCCAGGGCCAGGGCCAGGGCTAGGGCCAGGGCCAGGGTTAGGGTTAGGGCCAGGGCCAGGGTTAGGGTTAGGGCCAGGGTTAGGGCCAGGGCCAGGGCCAGGGCCAGGGCTAAGTTGATATCAACGCATATATGGGTTCAAAATATTTCTCTTTCAAGAGAAAAATACCAACTTAAACGATTTGTTTTGTTTGGGCTCTTGTTAACGTTAAAATCTGGATCAAGGCACCGTGTGCCACTAAAGCTCATAGGAGACATAGGTCCGACCTAACTTTTTGGAAAGATTTAGAACGCTATGAGGAGATAAGCGAGGTTGCTAGATATACTCTGAAACATCATCTTTGGCTTAACAATAATAATATTAATAATCATAATATTAATATTAATATGGACTTTGTCTACGCAATAAATTATTTCTTACTTATATTTTTTCAAGGTCGACTGTGAATTGTAATACTTTGAGTTGTAAATGATATAGCGAAAAGAGGGGTAAAACTATTTGAAGAGCATAATCAATTATAAAAAATGAGGACGAAAAGCAAGACTTGTTACAAATCGTAGAAGCGAATCGGAAATCTGTTCGGACAGAAACTACAAAAAAAGCTGTAAGAGTTCTGATTTTCATGTGGATATATTGTCTTCAGATTCATTATATTATAGCTGTGAGCACTCCCTTCTAATTAAGCTAGAGGGTTCAAATTTTGTTAAATATCTTTTTTTACTTTATATAAAAAAATTAGAGGGTGAGAATAAGTTTATTTACAACTTCACTTTTTTAATTCGTTTCTGGACCACCCTAATACCCACTCAATTGACTGATGACATCAAGTTGTCCAACTTTTGTAGAATCACCCATATCAAAGATAGATAACATATAATAAAATATCGTTTATTACACTTTTATGCTTGCACAAAAAAGGCTATTTTCCGGACTTTTAAAGAAATATGCCATTTAAACTCTTACTTAGGTTCCTGGGAGAATGCCCCAGTACCCACAGGTGCCCCCTTCGAAAATTCCACAATACCAACAGCACGTGGACAGAATTCAAGATGTCTATCAAAGACAGGCGCAACAGGGCCCTTGCAATTTGCCTGTTCCACAGGCAGGGCCGCAGCGATTCAACCAGTCGGCCTACGAGCAGCACGTGGGCAGGATTCAGCAGTCGTGTCAGCCTAGCGGGCCTAGCGGGCCCTCGCGACTTCCCGTTCCGCAGCAGCAAGGCCTGAATCAGCCCGCCTTCGATCAGCACGTCAACCGGGTTCAGCAATGCTATCAAAACCAAAGCGGACCCTCCACCAGGGCAGTTCCGCAGCCCCAGCCGTTGAATCAGGGCGCTTTCGATCAGCACATCAACAGGGTTCAGCAATGCTATCAAAACCAAAACAGACCGCCCAACTTGCCAGTGCCGCAGCCCCAGGCGTTGAATCAGGGCGCTTTTGATCAGCACGTCAATAGGCTTCAGCAATGCTATCAGAACCCGAGCGGGTCTGCTGGTTTGCAGGTTCCACAGCCGCAAGCGCTGAATCAGCAAGCCTTTGATCAGCACGTCAGGAGAATGGCGCCAGCTGATTGTGGTCCGTCCAAGCGGCCAGTACCTCAACCTCAGCCTTTAAACCAGCAAGCTTTTGAACAGCATGTTGGACGAATGCAGGGGGCGTATGAAGGAAGGATGCCTGCACCTTCTCCGTCTAGGTATAAAACGTGTCACCAAATTTAAGGGTAGGGGAAGGTGGGGGAATTTTGCGCGGTGGGTAATTTTACGCATAAACAATTCTTCCAGATATGAAGTAAATAATACATTTTTTGAATGTTGCAAACTTGGAAACGTTTCTTTGGGTATACGGGGACTAAAGTGTACCGCAATTAAGCTTGTAGCTTTTAGCTAGTGACCATGGTCACTAGCTAACTGTGATACATATGTACGTTGATCTAAGAAATCCATGTCGTTTCCGCTACGAGTTAAGTTTAAATTTCTGTCCAATCGCTTAAGCGATTAATTAAATGTTTATAACACAACTTTATATGATCTTTCCTCGTAATCTGGTGTATGTTTAAATTGTTCAGGTTAACTTTTGGAAAGTTTTTTAGAATCACAATATTTTTCTTGCAATTTTACTCTGAAAAATTGGGGTAATTTTGCGCTGCAAAATTTGGCCAATATGGGAGCTTTGGTACAGGAGCCTAGATTGTTCAGCATAAACAGTTCCATTTGGGCACACGCGGAGTGTAGCGAAAAAAACAACCCCTAAAACTACATATGGGATATTCTTATAATAGGAGCAATCTTGAGTATAAGAAATTTAAAAAAAAAACAGTTACAGAAAATTTTGAAAAACTACTGTTTTATAAGAAATGAATAAAGTTTATGAAATTATGAGTCTGTTGAGCTCAATTTTTAATTTTGGGGCTTTTTCAAAAATCCATATCCACGCCAATGACTAAGAGGCACGCTAATGACAGTTTTCATTGAATAATGATACAAAATATATTTTTAATATTTATTTATAAGTAAACATTGGTTACAAAAAAAATTAATGAATTAAGCATATTTTATCAATTTCCTCGGAGTTTGGTACTTTAAAAAATCTATTTGAAATTGGCTGTGGTGGCAAATCAAGTTTACATAATATACCAGCTTCTGTAAAAATTTGTCAATCAGTTGATCTAGGCCAATAAAAATATTTACCACTTCTTGCCATAAAGGTAATAGTTATGTTTTCTCCATTTATATCCTCAATTATTCCTAAAAATAATTTACCTCAATGCTCGTTATTAATAAAAAAAGGTATCCAGGTACCTGGATACCATGTCTCTTTGTAAATTGGAGCTACCTATTCATTTTTTATGTATGATCCCATACGTAAAGAGATGTTGGTATTAACACTATCAGCTCCAAGAAGTCCAATGGTAGTCACAGCTGAAAATTCAGGTTCAGGCAATACATCAATGTTAAAAGACGTTGAAGTCACATTAAAAATGTTGTAATGAGTACACTGTCGAAGCTCACAATCAAAACAGCTCAAAGTATTCAAAAACAACCTTTTGTCGTCTTTTCGCCAAGTCACTTGGTGTGTTAGCATGGTACCTTTACAGACTTTTATTTTAGCAGGTAGATATGTATCAAATTTGTCAATTTCAGCCTCATCAACAGTTCTTATTAGTAAGTTTTAATATTTGTCTCTATGGCGTTTGTAAATACATCAAATGTATTAATATCATGGTTATGTGCTACTAGTTGGTCTGCACACCTTTTGACTACAGCTCCAATACCATCAGGTGCCCCTTTTCCATGACCTGATTCAGAATAATTCCAGGAGATTTTAGTTATATAAGGGAATAACTTTGGAAAAATATTTTGCAAAAAATAGAACAGCTTTTTATTTCTGTACTGAGTGCTGGGGCTATCTGATAGAAAATGAATAGTAGTAATTTTATTTAGGCCACCTAAATAATATTTGTTGCTGCTAAGGAGCAGTAATGGTTTGCATACAATGCTTGTATTAAATCGGTACTAAAGTTCTACTTTACTGCCGATTTCTTTTACTTTACTGTCGATTGTTGACTACTTTACTGCCGATTTTAGATAAAAATATCTTATTATCATTATTCGTACAAAATATCATTGGCGTGGATAGTCCGTCATTAGCGCGGACAAAAAAGTCCACGCCAATGATGCAAGTAAATATCCACGCCAATGACTAAATTAAGGTTAATGTTCTTTGGACAGCAAATGGATTAATGAATTTAATTTAAATTATGCATACCTTTTGTAGTTGTCACTGCTCATTAATTATTGTCAATATTTTTCTAATAGCTTTTAGATAAACAAAATTGTCACTAGCACTCCAATGATGCACTATAAACATACGCCCATGAAACACATAACAACTTCACACTTCATAGTTCACTGTGCAACTGTTCGCGTTTGGCGCCAAATCAAGTAAATAGCGTATACCAAAATGTTTATAATAATGGTCCCTAACTGGTAAATTTAAAGTAGGCGAGATTTTTAAATACGTATCATTATAATCCACGCTAATGATGTCAAACTCAGGGACACATTTAAGAAATGTTTTTCTTTCAATTAACTTTTTTTTTTTTTCTTAATCCCGCTTAACATATCTTAAAAAGTGTTGTCTATAATATACTATTGCTAGAGTATTTATGGACAGTTTCCTAATTTGCAAAAAAAAAATATTCTGGTGAAAGGATATCCAGGGACATCCACGCTAATGACAATTTATGTAATTAAAGGGAAAATGTATCGAATTGGTTTTATTTTATTATTAAGTTAATAGGTGTATGAATAGGGTCAATAAACCCCTAAATAAATATAAAATAAAAAATTGTGAACATGCACTTGACTGAGCATGGCAAGTCAGGGACATAAAATTTCCCCTATTGTAAGAATGACCCATATGTGACAACTGCTGCATGTAGATCCTCCTCTTATTTCTAAGAACAAAAATTTTATTTTTAGTTATTTATTTTTGATTTTGTTTTTTTATAAATTGCGCATTATATACACATAGTAAACATAGTAGGCTATCGCTGGTATTAATTGCAAAATTTCACATTTAAACTTAACAAAGATACTAGAGATTTTGCTTAGATGCGCAGAATTCCCCCACCTTCCCCTATACATATAGGCGGCCTTTAGTTACATAAATGGGTGAATATTTTAAAACTGTCGATTTTCGGAACAATTTTCGTTACACATAAAAAATTGCAAATCTTATTAATTTTGCACTTTTAGGACTCATGAACATAGACATGAAGACTAAAAACGTAATTTTTTTTTTGTCTTTTTAAGAAATTGAATCCACGGTTTTACTTGGTCATCTCTTATTCTTCTGCGTCTCCTACGTTCTGCTTATCTGTTAGCTTCGTTAGTCAACTTGTTTCGTGGTTTTGTCATTTTAATTAATTTCCCACTGAATTGAAATATTTTAAATTGGTTACATGTAAGGGACACGACAATGACGAGCACGGTAATTTTAAGGTTAGAGTATTTTACAATGTTTATTCGAAAATGTAATGCAATTTTCAAGTTACCTTTGCTTTTTGTTAATGCAAGACTCCTTTGTATTAATGTAAATATTTTGTATGTCCATAAACTGTGAAATAATACTTACCCCGACAATGACGGACTTAGACGTAACAAGCCGTTTTCGTTTTCATTCGGCGCACGTCACAACTTTATGGTTTGACATATGCTAGTGTAGGTTAGACAGGCAGGATATTTCCATATCAGACGTTCGAAAACTTCCGGCATTTTCCGAATGTATCGCGTATTTAAATATGAAATTAGACACATTTTATGTAGCCACGGCAATGACGCTCATGGGTGTGAACAAAGTTTAAACGGCATTAAAAGAAAAGTTAACATTCTAAAATGCAATTTCTTGCTTGAATTGCATTATTTTGTATTTTCTTCGTCTGTGTTAGACAGGATATTGCAAATATATGTAAGAAAATAATACGTTCTTGTTCTTCGAATGTGAACAAGGCACGGTAATGACGTTTGCGACACAAAAATTAAAATATATTTTTTACTATGCTTGTTTAGACTAAAATAAGTAAGGAATCAAGTGAAAATAGTTAATTAAACTAGACATCAAGTATTTTATTTTCAGTGGGATATTAACTTTTGAAATAAGAAGCCGGAACCGATTGAATTACACTTTTGAAATATTCACCCAAATACCCTAATATAAGTCAATTTTAGGTTTCATACCTATTTATACTTACCGTCTTGCCCACTTTAGTAAGTAGAAATAGGTGTGTCACTCAAAATGTTCTTTTTAATAATTATTATAATAAGCGAATAATACCTATCTACATTTTTAAACCATTGTATCCCTGACATTCTTAAGGCTCGTTTTCACGGGTCAAGCTTCAACTATATTTTCGGCATGCAGTCTTGATAAAGAAAATGGTGATTCGTTTCAAAAAGACCTGTTTAAGAGTGCTAATATTAATTTAAAAAACAATTACGGATATATGAGGAGCATCCGTGCAAAACCGGCTATATCCACTTTAATAAAATGTTGGGAAAATGGCAAAAACTCTCGGTTTCCTGGCCTTTACAGATAAAAGAAAAAGCAAACTTGAGTTTTGTGGGCTTTGTGGTACTTGATTTATAAGACATACTTTCGTTTTCAAAAACTTTATATTAAGGCCAAAATTTCAAAAAATGTTTTGTATATAGCCGGTTTTGCTGAAAAACCAAATAAAATGTGAAAAAAAATCTTTATTATTCAAAAATATTAACAAAATAAATTTAGTGAAAACATGAAAAAACAGAACAAATTTTAGTAGTAGTATCGACATATCCAAGCCACATGCTCATCATCATTATTATTTATTATAGCCGGGTTTGCTATAAAAACGTGGATTTGGCCGGTTTTGCTCCTAAAGCTACCTTTTAAATGTGATTTTAACATGGATTTAGCCGGTTTTGCACGGATGCTCCTCATATGGAAGTATTAATTTTAGTAAATTCAATCATTTTGGGGTATTTACAAGTTTTTTTATACGTTTTTTCAATTTCAAGGTAAGTTAGACCGAAGTCCTGGTTAAAACAACATATCTAGGAAGTAACTTTTCAAAATAAGGATCCTGGGTTGTTTAAATCTAGAATCCTTTTTAACAGAAACCCAATAAACATGCCCACGTTCTTCATCGGAATTGCAACCTATATTTATAATTAATATTATAAGATTAATAATAATTCAAAAACCAGATGAGAATTGGCATTTTTCGAGCTCATTTTGACACACTGTTTACCGTAGACCACCAGGTTGTTACAATCCTAGTGAGGGTGCGCAGCCGCAATTCAATCAAAACGCCGTTGATAGACATTTGGAACGAATGCAGACGGGCTATATGGCGAACCTGAAATCCCAATACCAATACGCTAATCAGTATGAAAAACAATGCCCTGACTACAACTTTCCAATTGTCGATCGCGACTGTGCTCAAAGGCCACCAGAGGCTCCTTACAATGCCGAAGCTGTTCAGCAACACGTGGAGCGCATCAAAAGCTGTTCCAACGTGCCGCAGCCACCTCCGCCATCTAGAATTCCTCAACTCGCACCTGGAAATTTTGATGCATACCGAAGACGTAAGCACCAACATTTACTATCGCAATAAAGGGGCGCATACAAAACTTTTGTTTAACCAATTCTTTTTTTATAAGAAATATATTTTGAAAAATCGTGTTACAAAAGTAGGTACTATGCTTTTGAGCTGCTATTGAGAAACGCAGCTATTGAGAAATCGCTTTTTCAGGTTTTTAAAGTACACCATATATTAATTGATATTGTTTTTTAGCCCCCGGAAGGTTGCAGGCCTACAATGCAGGTAATTATCTTATTTAACATTTTTCACAATTTGTAATGTTTTTATTTGCTAAATAGTTCTAAAATAGAATAGAATAGAATAGAATAGAATAGTTTATTAGTGTTAAAATACAAAGTAGTATATACACACGTCAGAAAATATAATTACCAAATTAAAAAGAGAACAAAAAGATTTGTCTAAAAATTAGATCATACAATTAAATAAAAGAGAACAAGAACATTTGTAAAAAGAATTAGGTAAATACAATTAAATTAAAAGAGAATAAAAAACATTTTCTTACTACCTCGACTCAAAATACGTTGTTTCGTCCCCGATTTCACAGCAGAAAGTTTACGTTTCTTGCATTGGTCAAGCTATACGCGCACACTCTAATAGCGGGAGTAAAAATTTTTTAGTCGTGTGCTTAACATTCAAATTTCGTACTGCCAACATGAGAAACACAAAAATATGACAGTTTTAAACCATAATTTTGCAATTATAACAACAAATAAACAATTTATGTTTTTACTTTTTTACTTTTTATGTTGTTTTAAGTGTTTAATGGTACTTTTATTTGTTATAAAGTAGTAATTTGTTAATTAAAATACAACCTTTTATTTTTACTGTATTGGCACCGCTGAATTACCATGACAACGCTACAGTTTGATTGATTTTGAATGTAAACGTCAGAATTAAATTAAACGTCAGATTTTAATTTTGACACAAGTTTTTTTATATACATTTAATTTTTTCCCGTATTTTCTGCGGGGTAGCAAGAAAAATAGTATACACTACACGGGCAGAAAGTGTGAGAGCCCTGAACTGCGCGCCATGATGCCCTCGGCTTCGCCTCGGGCATCATGGCGCGCAGTGCAGGAATCTCACACTTTCTGCCCTTGTAGTGTAATATACTATTGTATCAATTGATCAAATCAAAGTTATCACACAGGAGATATTCTTCAAATGAATAAAATGCTTTTTTTATTAAAAAAATCTTAAATAGTTTTTTAAATGAGTTAATTTCCATGCCTCTTATTTCATAAGGTAGTACGTTAAAAAATTTTACACCAAAATTTTTTTTGGCAGTTTGACACCTTTTTAGCCTGCAAAAATTTGTGCGTAGATTTGCTGAATTTCTAGTTGAATACTCATGAGTTTCACTGCTAGAAGTGTAATCAAGAATATTTTTTTGATATAAATATCACTTGAGTAGATATATAGACCTGGGAATGTCATAATATTAAGTGAAATAAAATATGGTTTGCAATCTTCACGGTACCCAATTCCAGCTATCAACCTTATCGCTTTTCTTTGTAACCTAAATACCGACTTACTCGAGGGTGCGTGACCCCAGACCAGTATTGCCTATGACAAAATTGAGTGAAAGTGAGCAAAATATACCGTTTTAAGCACAAAAGAAGACAAATTATTTGATAAATGTCTCAACCAGTACAAACGACTAGACAGCTTTTTGGATAAATCGTGTATATGGCTATTCCAATTTAAAGAAGGATCCATATATAGACCCAGAAATTTAACAGATTCTTGGTTGTTTATATTAGTGATATTTCTCGTGGAAAAAACTAAATTCTGCGTCTTGGCAACATTTAAATATAGACGATTAGCAGAGAACCACTTATGCGAATCCGATTTTAGTCCACGAGACGTTGTCAGAACGCTTTGTAAACAAGAATCTGACTCTACAATTGTGGTATCATCTGTAAACATTATAAAGTTACTATTAACAGATAATGGTAAATCATTAACATAAATTAAAAATAATAAAGGCCCCAGAATGGAGCCTTGGGGAACGCCAATGTTTATGTTTAGTTTATCTAAAGCTATTAAAGCTAACAAGGTGACACCTATTATGTAAATAACTTTGTATTAATTTAGTACTAGTTTGATCGAATTTATAGTGAACAAGTTTGTTTAGCAAGATATCATGGTCCACGCAATCAAAAGCTTTACTCAAATCGCAAAATATGGCGGATATGAAAAGCTGATTATTAAACCCCTCTTGTACAAAATCACAAAACTTCAGAATTGCATCTTGTGTGGAAGTAGTAACTTAATTAACACCAACTTGATTGTGTTTACAATTTGTCGTGCTCACTTAATCATCCTTTTCATGAAATGGATGTCCACTTCATGAAACGGATCCGCTTAGTGTATTCTAATTTAATTTTACCATGTGGATAGAACCGCTCTTTACTATTGGGAAGTTTAGTTTAGTGAGTCCCTACACTGTTTAAAATATCTGTGGTGTAAAGAGTAATCTTAAAATGGTGTCAAAATCCAACACCAAGTGGTGTTAATATAAACACCATAAATTATGACTGAAAATGTTATATTCAGCAAACACCAAAACGGTGCTCATCTAAAATTATTTTAGAAGTGCACCTACACAGAAAAAAAGTAATAGTTCATTTAACTATAGTAATTTAGTTGACCCATAGTATTTATTTAAATTAACTGTGGGAAGGTTAATATAAACAAAGATTAAATTGACGGTACTAAACCAGATAGTTATTTTATTTTTTTTAAATTGGTAAAATTATCCCAGAAAACTTTAGTGAAACCAACGCGCTGTATGGTTCAGTTTACTAAATATGTTGTTTGTAAAATAAGAGTTACTTCAACCTACACAGAAAAAAATCTAACATAGTACCAAGAACAGAATGCATTAAAATTGAAGCAATCTAAATTGTTATTTGCTCAATTAATTACTATTAAACCAAAATATGGAATACAATACATACAATAGTAACGTTATTAAATAAATCAAATTAGTATTTAATGCAATAACATTCTAACATTCTAACAAATAAATATCAATATGAATATCAATAGATTTAGGAGCGATAACTTTTGTTGTTAATTTAAAAACAGTAAACGATTATAAACCAAGTGCTAACTACCTATTGGTTTTTTAGGAACTGTTATTCAGGAATACGGATTACAAGATCCCATTGGTTTAATGGCTCACCCATTCATGCTATGCTAGCGTTTTTTCTGTGTAAAGCACTCTGTTAAAACGATCAAAACAATTTGCCGTGCATTCCTGGTTGTATAGTGTGTACCGATCGCGGCAAAGGCGGTGTGGATCACGTGATGTTCTTAAATCTCGCCTCTGTTGACTTACATGAAGAGTATATAAGCTCATGTAGTCCTTTGCTTTGGTGTGACACTACAAGTTGTTTGATACTAAAGAGACCTTAAATAGGTGGAAACAGCTGTCAATACTTGAAGTATTTTAAATTGGTGGAACGCACTAAAAACATTATCTCTATATCTCTAGCGAGTTGAAGGTTCAATTTTCTGGAATAATACCACTGGTAATATACTAGTAATGCGTCAAGGAACTTCCTGTTTCTTTTTTTTTCCTTTTTTTCTGTGTAGTATGATTTAATTTGACCAAAAACACATAATATTTAACACTGAAAAGGAGTTCAATTTACACCAGGTAAAATTTATTTTAATACTGTGAAAGTTAAATTTACACTATTTTAGTATTTGAATTTACACTGGACCAACGAACCATATTTAACACCATTTTGGTTTGTATCGATATAGACCATGTATGGTGTTAATTTGGTGTTAAAACGGTCATGAAATTTTGAACACACGATCTCTTACTTAGAGGTGTAGAGCGCAACTGCACAAAAATTCTATCCACATGACGAAATTAAACTAGAATACACTAAGGGAATACGTTTCATGAAGTGGACATCAATTTCATAAAATGGATGATTCAAATCAAGGGAGTCGTAGGCCAAGCAAAAATGGTTGGCTTAACCATTTTTTGTCCAGAGACAGGGTTTTAAAAAGTATTTTTAATATCTTCGAAATATAACTTTGGATTTTATTTTCAATTTAGGTTGTATTGGTAGGATATAAAAGTACATATTTTAGTTACAAAAGTTGTTCTATTGCTTCACCAGTGGGGTCAATGCACTTTTAAAAGCACTACTTTTTCACATTTAAGACACATGTCCTCAGGGCCAAAACGAATTTTATGGTAAAAAAATTAAAACATAGAAATTGTTTCCTTAAAATACTTATTCAGTCGACACGGATACGAAGCTCATTTTTAATTTAAATCGATCTGTGCCACAGATTCTGTGGGTATATATTTATGCCTTTAAAGTCATATTGAGCCTGCAAACGGTGTTAATTAATTATGTTTATTTGTAGCTCCACCGCCTGGAAATTTAAAAAGAGACTATGGTCAAGGTCTAGGCTCAAATCAACAAAGTAAGTTCTTTCAATTGTACATAAATTATACCTTGTTCTTACCTTTCTTTTTTTAGTGTGTCCACAACGTGAGTTTATCAGTAAATAAACCCAATAGGTTGTATGTTTAATAATTTTTAATTATAGCACCAAATCCCTCCTCTTGTCCTCCTTGCCCACGAAGTAAGTATTTTCTTAAAAGTATTAGTATCAAATTAAAAAATAATGTAATGTCGGATCGCCTTATACCAGATTCCTATTTAATGGACATTGATTTAATGCCGGGCGTAATAAAGGGTTTACTAAAAGGGGTGTCCGAACTTTGGCAACACTGCGATCATCATCAAAAAAAATCTCTGCAATTTGGTGTTATTTTTTTTTTAAGTTTCACCATAGATCATTTTATTCTACCATAATTCGGGTTCTGTTAAATCTACTCGATACACACTGTATTACACAGTATAAAATTTTTCGGTGTAAAGTTACCAAATGGAGTGGTAAAATTATACATTTGATACTATTATGTGTTTACAGCTACACAAATTGTGGTAAAAAAAGGCACGTAGTCATCACCATTCGCTAACGGCAAGGGCGCGATCAGTATTCCGAGTGCAGTTGATGGTAGTGTACCTATGCATGCTATTTTAATTTAAGACCATGGTTTTTAAATTAAAATTCAGTGGTCTGGTGAAGTGGTGCAATGTGACAGTGGATGCAACTTATGTTTGTGATAAAACATGTTTTTTTACCTGTTATTTTTAAGTGAAATATGAAATTTAGTAATATTTTTAGTTTTTTGAGCTAGTGAAAAATCATATTTAACTTATATAACCATATAAGCTAAATAGGGTTTTGCACAAACTGGAAAAATATTACTACTTTTTATTCAATTAAAAAAAATTATTAACACTAAGAATCTTACACCTAAGTAGTGTTAATAATTTTTTAAATTTTATGCCAAAGCCTATTTGTATTCATATCTAATAGCTTGTAAGTAATATATACTTTATTTTACATTACATGCTATGTTTAATATTAAAACACCCACCATTTTTAACACCTACACTTAACACCTACATGTGTAGTAAATCACACCAAATTGAGCATTTTCTACTTTTGAATGGAGTTCTTTTACCAATAGTGCGTGTTGCTTATACACCTAAGAGTGTATTATAGGTATTTGATGATTTTTCACTGTTACGAGTTTTTTGTACGAATAGTACGTGTAGATTATTAACCAATTAAAAAGGGTAAAATTGACCAAATTGTATGTGGTTAGATATACCATTTCTATGTGGACCTATACAGGGTGTTTCATAATATATGCGCAGGACTTCAGGATGTGATATCTCATCCAAAAAGATGAAAAAAGTCGCTATTAACTTACCCTCTAAAATGCACAATTTTCGAGATACAGGGTGTTGAAATTTTAGAAAAAAAATCGTTTTTTTCGAATATCTCCGGAACCGTTTATCGTACAAAAAACAGCTTTTGTAAGCATTTTCTACTCAAAATAAGCTATGTTTTGTGCCAGAAAAAATTTTTTTTTACTTATAATTGGTGGAGATTGTGAAGGGGTAGCGGGTGTTTTTCTCCTCAACTTCTACGCCCCTGAAAAATGTACGGGTTTGAGAGGCCTATTCGAACCGCCAATGTTTTCTACACAAAAAATATACTTCTGGTCATAAGCTCTAAAGTTGACCGTTTTCAAGAAAAATCAACTTTTATATTTAAAAACATGTTCAATTTTTTGAAAAAATTTTTTTATTACTAATTAAACAAAATTTATTTTAACGTTAGAAAAAGTAACAAAACCAAACGATAATTTGCAAAATTAAAAAAAAAATAAAAAATGATTTTTTACACAAATGCTGAAATGTTCGAAATGCGTTACCTTTACGGTTTGGAGAATTTAGCAAAGACAACTTTTAAATCATTTTTTATTTTGCAATTATGGTTTGGTTTTGTTACTTGTTCTAACGTTAAAATAAATTTTGTTTAATTAGTAAAAAAAAAAATATTTTTTTTTAAATTGACCATGTTTTTAAACATAAAAGTTGATTTTTCTCGAAAACGGTCATCTTTAGAGCTTATGACCAAGAGTACCTTTTTTGTGTAGAAAACATTGGCGGTTCGAATAGGCCTCTCAAAACCGTACATTTTTTAGGGGCGAGAAAAACACCCGCTACCCCTTCAAAATCTCCACCAATTATGAGTAAAAAAATATTTTTTTCTGGCACAAAACATAGCTTATTTTGAGTAGAAAATGCTTACAAAATCTGTTTTTTGTACGATAAACGGTTCCGGAGATATTCGAAAAAAACGATTTTTTTTCTAAAATTTCAACACCCTGTATCTCGAAAATTGTGCATTTTAGAGGGTAAGTTAATAGCGACTTTTTTCATCTTTTTGGATGAGCTATCACATCCTGAAGTCCTGCGCATATATTATGAAACACCCTGTATAGACCACTTTTGGTGTTGTTTTTTACCAGAAATTTAATACTGTCTAAGACGAATTTTTTGTCTTCGATTGAGTATCTATTTGCCTATAAATCGATATCGACGAATTATTTTGTTGATATTGCTGAGATTTGGTGACTCCATAATTGCAAGAAATGGCTCTGTAAATTTGGCGCTGAGATCGTTTATTTTAAAAATATTCGATAATGGGGTTTGGGCTACACAAAATCCCACGACTCTTGAAACCAACATTCAAAACTTAATTGGACTATAATTGGTATAAATTAATCACCCTGTATGAGCAGCAGTAGTCAGTTAAATACCATTTTTTTCAAATCTTCTCCTAAATAAAACCATTTGTAATTTTTCCCCATAATTGTTTTATACACTTTTAAATTTGGACGCGCTTATTGATAAACCCTTTAGTAGAAGTAGTGGTAAACCCTTAGGACACAGGCGTCTTGGATGACCTGAAGAAGGCGACATTTGGAATTTACACAAAGACAATTTCGCTCAAATATTAAGTAACAGTTTCGTTTTATTTGTGTAGACAGATACTGAATGAGGACCTAGAAAGGATGTCATTGGCTGTTTTATTCACCATTAACCGTAGAATTATATTTGGGTCTCATTTAATCAAATAAACCGAGCTGTATATCGTGCCCAGGTAATTAAAACCATTGTTCGACCTCTATATTTTTAAATTTCCTTTCAGGCTCCCGTGGAAGAAAAACTGCAAGTCGTAAGATATAAATATAGTATAAAATTCTAATTTAAGATAGTTTAAATTTGTTTTTTAGCTTCTCCTTATTTATACGATGTTTCTAGAAAAACACCACCACAACGCAAGAAAATACGTAAGACATTCATACAGCTTTTATAATATATCTACATTGTAAATTAATCTAATATTGTGCAGAATCACCTGCCCTTTCAATTACACCATCGACCTCCCAAAACGCAGATTTAACAGAAGATTTCAATTTTGACGAAAGTATTAACAAATATCTTGAGGAAGATATCGATATCGATGAATACGTTAAACAACAAGAAAAAGAAGACTTAGAGGAACGCAAACGCGTATGGAATGTGGGCTCTCCAATAGAGGGTTTCGAGGTACAAGATACTCCATTAGACGATAGTGCAGCCTACTATGATGAATGGTTATGTAAAAAACTTGGAATAAAGACTTTGGAAGAAGAGGAAAGAGATCTAGCGAAACTACTTGCAGGGGGTTCCCCCATGTCAGACATATCGGAAGGGGAATCTCCTGGTCGTTTACCAACTGCGCCCATGTTACGATCTCCCTCGCCACAGCGGGGAGATTACATGCCTGACAGACCAGAATTCCTGAACTATTGGGAAGAAGAAGAAAGACAAAGACTAATAGATGAAGAGGAAACAAGAAAAATTCTAATGCGTAATCAAAGCGGAAAAAAAAGTTCCCCATCAAAGACCCCCCAAGCTTCAGGTTCCAAGTCCTCCCCTTTTAAAAAGACTTCACCAAAAAAATCCAAAGCTTCCATTCCCAAGCCTTTTAAGTCTAAACTATCTATACCCAAGCCTTCACTTTTATCAACACGTAAATCTCAATCCCCAAAACCTGCACAAAAACCTCCCTGTGGACCAAAGGGTATACTTTTAAAACAAAATATAATTTAAATCAAAAGATATTTTTTAGTTCCATGTCCAGTTGCCTCAACCTCCTCGAAAGCATCACCGGTTTCAAAGCTATCGCCTCGTCGTTCGTTGACTCCGCAAGGAGATTACATGTCCGAAAGACCAGAATTCAGAAACTATTGGGAAGAAGAAGAAAGACAAAGACTTATAGATGAAGAAGAAACAAGAAGAATTCTAATGCGCAATCAAAACGACAAAAAAAGTACCCCATCAAAGACCCCCCAAGCTTCAGGTTCCAAGTCCTCCCTGTCTAAAAAGACTCCACCAAAAAAAACCAAAGCTTCCATTCCCAAGCCTTTTACGTCTAAATTATCTAAACTTTCTAAACCAAAGACTTCACTTTTAACTGCACGTCAATCTCTGTCTCCAAAACCTGTGGTTTCCAAATCCTCAGGTTTAACTCCCTGTGAATTAGAAGGTATATTTTGATAATACAAAATATTTTAAATGAAAAGATTTTTTCCTTCTTTAGTTGCTCCCACTTCATCGAAAGCATTACCAGTTTCAAAGCTACCATTCTTTAAATCGCAGACTGATGTAAAACAATCTCCTGTTTCAAAAGGTACAATTTTTCAACAAAAAATATCTTTTTCAATGATTTTTTAGGTCCTTCTGTATCTGGTATTCCTTCTAAGAAGGCAAAGACCAGACAAGTTTCAAAGTCAACAGCATTAAAAACACAATTAAATTTAAATGCTGACAAATCTCCTAGTGGCTCACGAGGTATAATTTGTTTACCAACATGATTGCTTAATATTTATTATATATTTTAGTCCCCCCTCCAGCAGAACCAGTGCCACCTACAAAAAAACCGTCTATTGGTTTAAAAGGTGTAACTTTAATATATCATTATATTATTTATTTCTAAATATTTTTTTAGTCCCCTGTCCAGCTGGTTCATCCAAGCAGTTATATTCCAAACAAGAGTCAAAGCTACCAGCTAAAAAGACACAAAATATAAAAAAACGTACTTTTAGTTCGAAGGGTATTATTCCTTTAAAATTAAAAAACACAATATAATTATTTTTTTATTAGCTCTTCCTCAAACCGGTCCGTACCCAGAAGATGTTTTGTCTCAGATATCTGCCTATCAACCACCAAAACCAGGAAGTATGTTAAACAATATTTAAGAAATAACCAAAGTTTTTTTCTATTCTAATTAACTGACTGAACTTTTCATAATGTCATAACCACTACATCTTTTTATAAATGCCGAAAATAAACACAAACATCTCAGGTTCACATAATTTGCACCAACGAAAAACAAAAAAAACTTCAGAAGTAAAGTAAAACAGTTGCTAAAACATATTATTTTTAAAGGAGGTGGTGTAGCCGGACCCTGGTCGCCCACAATTCCGTGGGAAGCAACGCCTCCAGATTGTAAACCAAAGTTAATGGCTCGCACACCGCCATTGTTTAGTCAGGATGCCCGAGTGCGTAAAGCGTCTCAGCAGTTAAAATACCAACCAACGGATTTTAATTACAAACCTCAAAAATGGGATTTATGGATAGAGGGACCGGAGTATTTTAAAGAAAATCCGCCAGAAAAAATGCAATTTCATGAAGATTTAAATATTTTGAAAAGAAGGGACAGAGGATCTTTGAACTATGAAGGTTTTAAACAGCTAAGCATTTTTTAAATTTTATCATAAAGCTTAAATATTTTATAGGAAATCAAGAAGAACCTTGGAAAAAGCTAATTAGACAAAAACAAGATGAAGCCGAGAAAAAAGCCCAAAGTTGTTTTTTAGCTGGAGCTGAAAAATCGCCCGTGGCTTTAGCTGGGAGTCCCAGTGAACCAGAAAAAATGCCAACAAAAATGCCAACACGCCTATTAAAAAGGTTGAAAGAACTGGAATATCAAAAAGCTTGCAGAAAAGCTGAAAAAGATAATTTGCCAATTCCACCACGACCAGATTTCAACAATATGGAAAGAACTGCGTCAGCAGCACTTCCTGTTAAAACGCCATCAAGAGTCATAGCACCTGGTCCTCCTGTACAGACCCAGTATATCATGGACGAAGCAACAAGACAAATGCAGAGCAGAGCTCTAATCCTAGCGACTAAAAGGGCGGCGGCTATGGAAGAAACGGCCTCAAAAGCAGAAGCTGAAGCTGCAGAAGCTGCTAAAGTGTTAGTCGAAGTAAAGTCTATGCCAGTAGCTCCTATTCCTAATTTTGAACCAATGATGCCATCTCCAGATGCCGCACAATTTAGGGCGGAAGCTGCCGAAGCAGCTTCAAATAGAGCTATGGCGATGGCGACCGTATCGGCTGATGCAGACGCTGAAGCGTTTAAAGAAGATCTTAAAGTTAAGAAAGCATTGAAAAAAAAGACAGAAAAAAAGGCAGCACGTGCAAATGCCCTGGTTGAAGAACTGAAAAAATCGGAAGACTGTACATGTCAAGAAATAAAGGAAGCCCAGGCGAAAGCTATTAAGGCAGACGCAGCTGCTAAAGAAGCCGCCTCAAGTGAGGCGGAAGCAAAAAAAGTTGCCCTCAACGCTAGAAGGGCGGCTGCTAAAACACTAGCCGAAAAAACTCGAAAAGCTCTAAAACAAAAAGCTGATAAAGTTAAAGCTAAGGAAGCTGCAAAAAAAGCAGATAAAAAAGCTAAACAAGCTCATGACCAGGCTTATAAGGAAGCCCAAGATATCTTTATAGAAGCTGTGAATATTGCTTCGTATGCGGAAGAGGCTGCTGCTCAAGCGGAAACAGACGCTGCCGAGATGGCCGTTCAGATGTCCCCTAGGCTACCATCAAATAATCAACCTTGCGGAAGGCTCTTATCACCTACGCCCTATGAAATGGCTATGGAAATGACGTGTGCAGCTCAAGCGGCAATTGAAAGAGCCGAGCAAGCGGCTCAGGAAGCTTCGAAACTTGAAGCGGCCTCTAACACTTGCCCTTGTTCGCCACCGGAAGATGAAGATAGAGTGGCTGCAAGAAGAGCTTTAATTGAAAGAGCCACCTCAATCGTCGAAGGATCAACACCACCTAGTGCCTCCGTACCGACAGTCCAACAACCCAAAACACCACAAATTAAACGCAAAAAGAAAAAGGAAGTTGTTGTAAGAACAACAAAGTCTCAAAAGCTAAAAGAAAAAGAACGTGAAAAAGAACGTCAAGCAGAAAAACAAAAAAAGGAGAGTGTTAAACCAACAAAAACGCCGAAACAAAAAAAAAGTAAAAAAGAATCTCAATCGAAGAGTGAAAAAGAACCAGGTCAGGAAGCATTTGACCAATACTGGCAAGAAGAATTGGCACAAAGAGAGAAAGATAGGGAGTACATGGAACAAATGGGATATGATAGGACACCAGGCTCTCCAGAAACAGAGCCTTGCGAAAATCAGCCCCAAGTTAAAACCCCACAGACACCTAGGACTTCTAAGACTCCAGATTTTACCCCTTTTAAATTTGATTTTGAAACTCCCCCAAATTTAAAGACAACTCCAAAAACATCTAAAACGCCAAGACCGCCAACATCTCCTCTTTTAATTAACATGGAAGAAGACTATGTAGACTTGAAGGACCCACTTCAAACTGAGGCTCCTGTTAAACTTGAAATACCACTTAATGTCTTTAATTTTTCCGATCAAAAGGTTAATAAAAGTCTTAAGAAAAAGTTGGATTCGTCAATGAATACAAGAAGAGATTATTTTATTCAGTGCAAGAAAAAAAAGACCCAACCGGCAAAGTACGGACATTTACAACCAATTCGTCCGGACTTGACTTTGAATAGAGAAAAAAGAGAAAAACTAAGAAAACAAGCTAAATCATCGCCTTACCATTGGTCACCTGAAAAACTTCCATTTTCGCCAGTAAAAATGGAAAGGCTAGACCCCTTTATTAAAGCACAAATGGAGCAGGATGAAAAATTTCAAATCGAGGACAAACAATTTAAAAAAAGTATGTATATTTTTTTTTTAGTAATTGTGTCATTTCCTTTTTTTCTCAGGTCTTACGGATCACCCCTACGAAGAATACAGCAAGGCAATGAGAAAATATCATATAAAACCTGTTTTAGAAAAGGTTAAAGAATTGCCGTTCGAAAACTTGTCTGGTGACATGTCTCAACTATTTAAACAATTACAAAGTATGTATATCTTGTTTTTAGTAATTGTGTTATTCCATTTTTTTTCAGTTGTTATGACGAATCCACCGCCAGCCACATCTTTGTCTGATGAAGACGCAGAATTCCTTTTGTTGGAACAGCAGTTTCAACAAGAGGAAGAGAGTCAGCGACAGCCAACACCAAAAATTTCAACGGCTCAGCCAACAGCCAAAACACCTAAAATTAAACCCAAAAAGAAAAAGGAAGTTGTTGTAAGAAAAACAAAGTCTCAAGTGCTAAAAGAAAAAGAACGCGAAAAGGAACGCGAACAGGAACGCCAAGCTAAACAAAAGGAAAAGGGTAGTGTTAAACCAACAAAAACGCCGAAACAAAAAAAAAGTAAAAAAGAATCTCAATCAAATATTGAAAAGGAACCAGGTCAAGAAATATTTGACCAATACTGGCAGGATGAATTGGCACAAAGAGAGAAAGATAGGGAGTTCATGGAACAAATGGGATATGATAGGACACCAGGATCTCCAGAAACAGAGCCTTGCGAAAATCAGCCCAAAGTTAAAACCCCACAGACACCTAGGACTTCTAAGACTCCAGATTTTTCCCCTTTTAAATTTGATTTTGAAACTCCCCCAAATTTAAAGACCACTCCCAAAAAACCAAGACTGCAAACATCTCCTCTCTTAACTAACATGGAAGAAGACTATGTAGACTTGAAGGACCCACTTCAAACTAAGTCTCCTGTTAAACTTGATATACCACTAAATATGTTTAATTTTTCCGATAAAAATGTTAATAAAAGCCTTAAGGAAAAGTTGGATTCGTCAATGAATAAAAGGAGAGATTATTTTCTTCAGTGCAAGAAAAAAAAGACTCAACCGGGAAAGTACGGACATTTACAACCAATTCGTCCGGACTTGACTTTAAATAAAGAAAAAAAAGAAATACAAAAGAAAAAGAAACAATCTGAGCTTAAATCTAAATCACCGCCTTACCACTGGTCACCTGAAAAATTTCATTTTTCGCCAGTGAGAATGGAAAATATAGACCCATTTATTAAAGCACAAATGGAACAGGAGGAAAAAGAGAAAATCGAGGACGAACAATTTAAAAACAGTATGTATATGTTTTTTCAGTAATTGTGACATTCCCTTTTTCTTCTCAGGTCTTAAGGATCACCCCTACGAAGAATACAGCAAGCCAATGAAAAAATATCATATAAAACCTATTTTGGAAAAGGTCAAAGAATTGCCGTTCGAAGACTTGTCTAATGATGATATATTTCAACCAAATAAACAGTTAGAAAGTATGTATATATTGTTTTTAGTAATTGTGTTATTGCGTTTTTTTTTAGGTCTTATGACCAATCGACCGATGGCCACACCTTGGACTGATGACGACGAAGAATTTCTCTTGTTGGAACAACAGTTCCAACAAGAAGAATGCGGAAACATTGAAGAAGATAGTCAGCGACCGCCAACACCAAAAATTTCCCCTCAAGCAAAAACCCCCCAAATTAAAGCCAAAAAGAAAAAGGAAGTTGTTGTAAGAAAAACTAAAGCCCAAAAACTTAAAGAAAATGAACGTGAAAAGGAACGCATAGCTAAAAGAGACCGGGAACTTTGTGAGCAGCAGAAAAAACAATGGGAAGAGGAAGATAAAGAGAATAAAGCGTTAAGAAAAAAACAACCTGTGTCTACGCTCATTAAAGCCAAAAAAAAGAAAGAAGTAGTTGTAAGAAAAACAAAGTCCCAAGTGCTAAAAGAAAAAGAACGCGAAAAAGAACGCGAAAAGGAACGCGAAAAGATACGCCAAACTGAAAAAAGAGAAAGCAAAACCCCGAAAGACAAAAAAAGTAAAAAAGAATCTAAATCAAAGAGTGAAAAAGAACCAGATCAGGAAGCATTTGACCAATACTGGCAAGAAGAATTGGCCCAAAGAGAGAAAGATAGAGAAGACATGATAGAAATGGGATACGACAGAACACCAGGCTCCCCAGTAACAGAGCCTTGTGAGAACCAGCCCAAAGTTAAGACTTGCACAAATTTAGAGGCACCAGCATCGCCAAAAACAGAGCCCTGCGAAAACCAACTTGGGGTTAAGACTCCTAATACTCCAGAATTTAAAACTTTTTCATTTGATTTCGAAACTCCCCCACATTTAAAGACCACTTCAAAGACACCAATAGCACCAAGATCACCAACATCTCCTCTCTTAATAAACATGGAAGAAGACTATGTAGACTTGAAGGACCCACTTCAAACTGAGGCTCCTGTTAAACTTGAAATACCACTAAATATGTTTAATTTTTCCGATAAAAATGTTAATAAAAGCCTTAAGAAAAAGTTGGATTCGTCAATGAATACAAGAAGAGATTATTTTCTTCAGTGCAAGAAAAAAAAGACTCAACCGGGAAAGTACGGACATTTACAACCAATTCGTCCGGACTTGACTTTGAATAAAGAAAAAAAAGAAATACAAAAGAAAAAGAAAAAATCTGAGCTTAAATCTAAATCACCGCCTTACCGCTGGTCACCTGAAAACATTCCTTTTTCGCCAGTGAGAATGGAAAATATAGACCCATTTATTAAAGCACAAATGGAACAGGAGGAAAAAGAGAAAATCGAGGACGAACAATTTAAAAAGAGTATGTATATGTTTTTTCAGTAATTGTGACATTCCCTTTTTCTTCTCAGGTCTTAAGGATCACCCCTATGAAGAATACAGCAAGCCAATGAGAAAATATCATATAAAACCTATTTTGGAAAAGGTCAAAGAATTGCCGTTCGAAGACTTGTCTAATGATGACATATTTCAACCAAATAAACAGTTAGAAAGTATGTATATATTGTTTTTAGTAATTGTGTTATTGCGTTTTTTTTAGGTCTTATGACCAATCGACCGATGGCCACACCTTGGACTGATGACGACGAAGAATTTCTCTTGTTGGAACAACAGTTCCAACAAGAAGAATGCGGAAACATTGAAGAAGATAGTCAGCGACCGCCAACACCAAAAATTTCCCCTCAAGCAAGAACCCCCCAAATTAAAGCCAAAAAGAAAAAGGAAGTTGTTGTAAGAAAAACTAAAGCCCAAAAACTTAAAGAAAATGAACGTGAAAAGGAACGTAAAGCTAAAAGAGACCAGGAACTTTTTGAGCAGCAGAAAAGACAATGGGAGGAGGAAGATAAAGAAAATAAGGCGTTAAGAAAAAAACAACCCATTCCTTCGCTCATTAAAGCTAAGAAGAAGAAGGAAGTGATTGTAAGAAAGACAAAGTCTCAAGTGCTAAAAGAAAAAGAACGTGAAAAGGAACGCCAAGCTGAAAAAGAAAAAAAGGGGAGTCTAACACAAACGAAAACACCGAAAGACAAGAAAATACAAGATAAAGACGAGTCTATAGAACGAAAACAGATCTTTGACGCGGATTCTCCAATAGACGTTGATGAAATACCAGATGCTGCGACATTATGTGCCAATGTTGAGAAATTCTATAAGGAATTGGTGGATGAAATGATCGAGAAAGATACAAGGTGGATGAAAGAAATGGGATTATGGGATGAGTCACCAACATCGCCAAAGACAGTGCCATGCAAAAAGAAACTTAACGTTAAGAGTCCCAAGACAACTAAGACTAAAGCTCCCAAGACTCCAACTACTCCGGAATTTAAACCATTTAAATTTGATTTCGAAACTCCCCCACAATTAAAGACCACTCCAAAGACACCAATAGCACCAAGATCACCAACATCTCCTCTCTTAATAAACATGGAAGAAGACTATGTAGACTTGAAGGACCCACTTCAAACTGAGGCTCCTGTTAAACTTGATATACCACTAAATATGTTTAATTTCTCCGATAAAAATGTTAATGAAAGCCTTAAGAAAAAGTTGGATTCGTCAATGAATACAAGAAGGGAATATTTTCTTCAGTGCAAGAAAAAAAAGACTCAACCAGGAAAGTATGGACATTTACAACCAATCCGTCCGGACTTGACTTTGAATAAAGAAAAAAAAGAAATACAAAAGAAAAAGAAACAATCTGTGCTTAAATCCAAATCACCGCCTTACCACTGGTCACCTGAAAAATTTCCTTTTTCGCCATTGAGAATGGAAAATATAGACCCCTTTATTGAAGCACAAATGGAACAGGAAGAAAAACTTCAAATCGAGGACAAACAATTTAAAAAAAGTATTTATATATTTTTCAGTAATTGTGTAATTTCCTTTCTTTTCTCAGGTCTTACGGATCACCCCTATGAAGAATACCGCAAGGGAATGAGAAAATATCATATAAAACCTATTTTAGAAAAGGTTAAAGAAATGCCGTTCGAAAACTTGTCTGGTGACATATCTCAACTACTTAAACAAATACAAAGTATGTATATATTGTTTTTAGTAAGTAATTGTCTTATTACATTTTTTTTTCAGTTGATAAAATGAAAAAAGAGAGTCAGCGATCGCCAACACCAAAAATTTCGACGGCTCAGGAGGACATCTCACCCATTCAACCGACAGTCCAACAAGCCAAAACACCCCAAATTAAAGCCAAAAAGAAAAAGGAAGTTGTTGTTAGAAAAACTAAATCCCAAAAACTTAAAGAAAATGAACGTGAAAAGGAACGCACAGCTAAAAGAGACCGGGAACTTTGTGAGCAGCAGCAAAAACAATGGGAGGAGGAAGATAAGGAGAATAAAGCGTTAAGAAAAAAACAACCCGTTCCTTCGCTTATTAAAGCTAAGAAAAAGAAGGAAGTGGTTGTAAGAAAAACAAAGTCTCAAGTGCTAAAAGAAAAGGAACGCGAAAAGGAACGCCAAGCTGAAAAAAGAGAAAAGGGTAGTGTTAAACCAACAAAAACGCCGAAACAAAAAAAAGAAACTCAATCAAAGATTGAAAAAGAACCAGGTCAGGAAGCATTTGACCAATACTGGCAGGAAGAATTGGCACAAAGAGAAAAAGATAGCGAGTACATGAAACAAATGGGATACGATAGGGCACCAGGCTCCCCAGAAACAGAGCCTTGTGAGAACCAGCCCAAAGTTAAAACCCCAAAAAAAACAAAAAAAAGAGATAGAGGGAAAGGTAAAGCACCTAAGGCACCTAAGACCCCAGAATTTAAACCTTTTAAATTTGATTTCGAAACTCCCCCACAATTAAAGACCACTCCAAAGACACCAATAGCACCAAGATCCCCAACTTCTCCTCTCTTAATAAACATGGAAGAAGACTATGTAGACTTGAAGGACCCACTTCAAACTGATGCTCCTGTTAAACTTGATATACCACTAAATATGTTTAATTTCTCCGATAAAAATGTTAATGAAAGCCTTAAGAAAAAGTTGGATTCGTCAATGAATACAAGAAGGGAATATTTTCTTCAGTGCAAGAAAAAAAAGAGTCAACCGGGAAAGTACGGACATTTACAACCAATTCGTCCGGACCTGACTTTAAATAGGGAAAAAAAAGAAATACTAAGGAAAAAGAAACAAGCTGCGCGTAAACCTGAATCACCGCCATACCATTGGTCACCTGAAAAAATGCCTTTCTCGCCAGTGAGAATGGAAAATCTAGACCCATTGATTAGAGCACAAATTGAACAGGAGAAAAAAGTGCAAATCGAGGACCAACAATTTAAAAAAAGTATTTGTGTATTGTTTTTAGTTATTGTGTAATTTCCTTTTTTTTCAGGTCTTAAGGATCACCCCTACGAAAAATACAGCAAGCCAATGAGAAAATATCATATAAAACCTATTTTGGAAAAGGTCAAAGAATTACCGTTCGAAGACTTGTCTAATGATGAAATATTTCAACCATTAAAACAGTTAGAAAGTATGTATATACTGTTTTTAGTAATTGTGTTACTCCGGGGTTTTTTCAGGTGTTATGACCAATCGACCAATGGCCACACCTTGGACTGATGACGACACAGAATTTCTCTTGTTGGAACAACAGTTCCAACAAGAGGAATGCGATAAAATTGAAGAAGATAGACGAATGTTGACGGCTCAGGAGGACTTCGTGCCCATTCAACCAATAGTCCAACAAGCCAAAACCCCCCAAATTAAAGCCAAAAAGAAAAAGGAAGTTGTTGTAAGAAAAACTAAATCCCAAAAACTTAAAGAAAATGAACGTGAAAAGGAACGCCAAGCGAAAAGAGACCGAGAACTTTTAGAGCAGCAGAAAAAACAATGGGAGGAGGAAGATAAAGAGAATAAAGCGTTACGAAAAAAGCAACCCGTTCCTTCGCTTATTAAAGCTAAGAAAAAAAAGGAAGTGGTTGTAAGAAAAACAAAGTCCCAAGTGCTAAAAGAAAAAGAACGCGAAAAAGAACGCGAAAAGGAACGCGAAAAGAAACGCCAAACTGAAAAAAGAGAAAGCAAAACTCCGAAAGACAAAAAAAGTAAAAAAGAATCTAAATCAAAGAGTGAAAAAGAACCAGGTCAGGAAGCATTTGACCAATACTGGCAAGAAGAATTGGCACAAAGAGAGAAAGATAGGGAGTACATGGAACAAATGGGATATGATAGGACACCAGGCTCTCCAGAAACAGACCCTTGCGAAAATCAGCCCAAAGTTAAAACCCCACAGACACCTAGGATTTCTAAGACTCCAGAATTTACACCCTTTAAATTTGATTTTGAAACTCCCCCAGAGTTAAAGACACTTCCAAAAACACCAAGATCATCAACGTCTCCAAGACCGCCAACATCTCCTTATGTAGACTTGAAGGGCCCACTTCAAACTAAGGCTCCTGTTAAACTTGAAATACCACTTAATGTCTTTAATTTTTCCGATCAAAAGGTTAATAAAGGTGCTAAGAAAAAGTTGGATTTGTCGATGAATAAAAGAAGAGATTATTTCCTTCAGTGCAAGAAAAAAAAGATGGAACCGGCAAAGTACGGACATTTACAACCAATTCGTCCGGACTTAAGTTTGAATAGACATAAAAAAGAAAAACCAAGGAAAAAGAAACAACCTACGTTAAAACCTGAATCACCGCCTTACCTTTGGACACCTGAAAAATTTCCACAAGAATTCCTTTCACCATATCCGGAAGAAAGTTTGGAAACTGATAATGAAGCTGCAACAATTTTGTCAGCAATTAAAAGTCCTCCAAGTGCAAAACAAATCTGTTCTAATGGTCAATCCAAATTAAACGATATAAAGTCTGAAGTAACGGAAAAATTTAACGAGGCAAATAATCAGATGTCTGCAATTTTGGGAACGTCAGCAAGGCGATCTCCTGTTGCTCAATCTGCAGATTCAATAGATAATTTAAATGCTTGTAAGTGTGCGGCATCCAGTGTTATAACAGTTAGTTCAGAGTGTTCAGTTAAATCAGTTTCCGATTTTCCAAAATTAATAAAAAAACATCAAAATGCCATTAAAAGAGCATTCAGCTGTGGACATGAAGAAAAGGTTGTGTCTAGTAACTTTAAAATAGACGTAACCAGAAAAGATATTTTAACTCTTAAGGGGACTGCGTGGCTAAATGATAAAATCATTGAGTATTATCTAAATATGATAGAAGAAAGAAGCCAAGAAGGCCTAGGTCCAAAATGTTTTACCCTAAATACCTTTTTCTACATAAAACTGCAGACAAGTGGTCCAAGGTCCGCTATGAAGTGGACGAGAAAGATTGACCTATTTTCTTATGATTTGGTCTTTATTCCAATACACATTAAAGACCATTGGGCGCTGGTAGTAATTGACTTTAAATGGCTTAAAATCAAGTACTATGATAGTTTGGGCAAAAAAAATCAAAAATGCCTTGAATTAATTTTAAACTTTTTAGCGGTTGAGTATAAAACGTTTAAAAAAACCTGTCTTAACACAAGCGATTACTTATTAGAACATGCTACTGCTCCCCGTCAAAAGAACAGTTATGACTGCGGAGTTTTTGCTTTAACGATAGCTGAATTTATAAGCAGAGATATAAGAGAACTTCCCTTTAACCAAAATGATATTCCCTATTTGCGTGAACGAATAGCTGCAGAAATACTCTTCGGAAAATTATTAACGCAATATAAGCGAAGACAATGATTACTGAGGCTGTCAATGTTTCGTTTAATGTAACAATGATTGTGTAAAAGTACCTAAATAAAGTTTTTTAATATCACAATACGGCTCTACGACATTTCTTTAGTAATTTAGGTATGCTGGTTATATATATTTTTTGTATCCTTAATGGTAAACAGCCATTTGATTAGAATTCAATAAATATTTTTTAGCAACACTTTAATAGTTAGACACACTTTAATGGTTAGCCTTTGACTCGTTAGCAACACAACCATACAGAAATGTGACATTTAACTAAAAAAATTAATCACAATTATTATATTAATAAATATTAAATGTTCAATTAGATATATTTTGGAATTAAATTCCATTAGTACTTTTCGTTTTCGTTAAATGAAACATCCATGATAGTTGAACTTGATGAGGATAAGTGCTGCCAAGAGTCATCCTTTAAAGCTTTCTTTGGATTGGAGCCTCTAAAAATTTTCTTCGATGTTTAAATTTTATTTTGAATACTTTCTACTATATAACCCTCAACAGAAGATGTTGAAGACCATCCCTCAGTCTTTTCAAATCAGGGATACTGCCCTCATTATAAACCAACATGGTAGCTGCACTCAATACATACAATGCCCTGTGTAGCTATTGCAATCAGAAAGCTACAAATATTCAGCAATTTTTCTCGCAAACTATAAAATGTGTTGATCCCCACCGGTTGCACAGTGCATTTACCATTCCGGTAACAAACGAAAAATCTTGAATATTTCGTGTTTTGTGGCCTTAATTTACAATACTTCCAATACAACTCAATTCCGTTCGCTTCCGAAGTTATGGTAAATAGTCGCTCCTTTTTCGTTTTTGTATTACGTACTGTTACGATAATAACTGATTCATTCTCTTCTATATCGTTGTTGGTGTTCGTAATTCTTCCCCTCGCATTGCTCCATTTAAAGCAAAAATTAATGCCACTTTCATAAATAGATACGATTCATTCGAAGCGTCATTTAGAGTATGAGTATAAGAGACGTATAACCGGCTCCATTGCGTCATCGCTTCCGGGCCCCGCATAGGCCTCTGTTTACTTGCGCCGATTTTCTTTCGCCACCAGCAACGGCTTCACCCGTGTTTGCTGGTTGCGAATGTCCATTGCGTCACGTACTGTCCCCTATAGGGCTCAAGAGCGAAATGCCAATAGTTTTAGTAGCCATTCCCGGGTTCGCCGAGCCGATGCTATACGCCCAGAGGGGTCATAAAGGAGGTATGACGGGAGGAATAGACAGTTTGGTGTTTGGGGGACAATTACGCCGACTCAAATCTAAGTACGATGCGGGATCCCCCTAGACCGGGAAGTTAGTATTACTCCAAACATTTGGGATTACTGTTTGGAATTTGGGAGTTCGCTGCAGGGGCCTAGTTTACTGGTCGTGGTCAAAGTCTTGACCACGTTGTTCCTGCACTTGTTATTGTCTTGTCTCGGCTGTTTTCATTCGCGTTGCAATCCTATCCTTGTATTAAACAGTTGGTGTGCAATTGATGCGATTTGAAAGTTACCGGTGGGAGGTATTTTTGACTTCCACTGTATACTAATGTAATTACCAATTTAATTTAATGTTCGTTTGGATTTTAGGCCGTTTTTTTTAATTTATGGGTTTAGTCTTTGTCGTTTGTTATTGATAGATTTATTGTCTCAGTCAGCTTTACTGTGACCGAGTTAAGAGTTGGGGCGGTTTTGTTTTATTTCATGCAGATGTTTAAGGTTACTTATCGAGAATTGCAAATTAGCCTTTCCTCCCTTGGTTATCCTCTTTTGTTTGTCACGTGAAAAGCATCCAAATGCGTGGCTAGACCGCGGTCGACCACCCGTAAGGTGTCACTCTACACCTCAACTTCAACATTTTCCTGACCTTAGGGTGGTCTACACACAATAATTGCCACACTACAGGCTATTTTTACTTTATAAGTAATCATTGCGAGCTTTGCTGTTTGTAAGTTTTAAGAGCGCGACTCAGCAAGATGCGACTATCTTTGACGAGTACTCGAACTTGACTGATTCATTCGAAGAGTCATTTAGAATTGATAATTTGTTTAATTAACACTTGACTTTTTAGGTTCATATAATATAAATCATATCCTTCATTCTGTTTTTAAAAAAATGCAATTAATTTTATTATTTATTTTTTTATTTTAAAATGCAATTGCCTTCATAACAAATATTGTTAGCCCCGTCATCTAACCAAGTATGGATGAACTAAAATTGAAAAAACCCTTGGTGGCGTTATAAATAATTTAACTTTTTCGAATAGATGGCGCTGCCTAACTAAATCGTTTAATAGGCAGCCAAGATTACTTCAAAAATGTTTTGTATGAATTTAAAATAACTATTTTTTTCAGATGCGAGGCGCGTTTTTCATTTATGCATCCGTGCAGATAAACATAAAAATGTACAAAACTATACCAGAGATATTCATCACTATTGCAATGAATTAAAAATGCTTTAAAGAAATTTTTTGTGTACTCTAGTGTAGTTAGTGGATGTTTAACAGAATATTTGAGTGGCAACACTGCGTCTCATTTATTCAAAATAAAAATGGCGAATCATGTTGTAAATTCAACTGACAATAAACATAGTTTTTTACAAAATGGTAACAAACAATGGGTAAAATTAAACGTGGGTGGTACCTATTTTTTAACAACAAAAACTACACTAGCCAGAGATCCGAATTCTTTTTTATTTAGGCTTGTACAAGAAGACAGTGATTTAATTTCAGATAAAGTAAGTTGTATTTTACTATATGGCTGAATTTCACGATTTAATATTTTTTATAGTTGAAATGTGAACTGTGAAGCATTTCAGTCATAATTTCCTGTAATTTAAATATTCTGCTTTTTGAGAAAAAAGATCATTTCTGTGTATCAAAACAATTTATTTATAACAAAGTAAGGCTACCCCACAGGGTAGCTTACTAAAAACTAGGTGCTTTCCTTTACTGTTTTTAGCACTCTGTCCCAGGTTTTAAGTTTGTTGGGATGCATTTGGTGGTCAATTGGAAAGCACCTTATATCTTGCCTTGTTTTGGAAAAGTCTTAGAATTCCTCAGCTGCTCAAATGTAATATAAGTTGTGCATATCTAAACAGTTAGTTATAGACAAAACTTAATAAATATTATTGGAGAAACATGCTTTTATTTAGAATAAATAGATACTAAATTTAGAAATTAATACCAACAATTACGAAACATTAGAATTAATACTAGACTTATTATTTCTATTGATGTTTTATTTATTTTAGGATGATACTGGTGCATATTTAATAGATCGCGACCCAAATTATTTTTCTCCTGTTTTGAATTACCTGAGGCATGGGAAATTGGTCATAAACAAAGGTCTGGCTGAAGAAGGTGTTTTAGAAGAGGCTGAGTTTTATAATATTGCTGAACTTATTGTCTTAATTAAAGAAAGGATACTATTTAGAGATAATAGACCTAGCAAAGATGGCCAAAAACATGTATACAGGGTGTTGCAGTGTCATGAAGATGAACTTACTCAGGTTAGATTTTCATCACTTTTTTTAATAAGAATCAAGGTGTTAGGTAATGTCGACAGAGAAAAAACATTATTTTCTTGTTTTGATCCTTGTTATAACCACCCTGTATAATACAACCTATAAATAGGTTGTATTAGGTATATCTCTTACCTTAAGTCTTCTTACGTTACAACACCTATACTGCCCTACTATGGAGAAAGGCAGTAACTGCAAAAAAATGCAAAATCCGTTTTCTTGTGCTATGGTAAAGCTATGGACATTTTGTAACCGAATTCAACACAGAAATGCATTCAAATATCTCATAAGTTAAAAAAATCAATTAAATACCTATAGGTACCTATACAGCTGTTACAGCTTTTTATAAAAATGTAGTTTATGCTAATTTCCCACAAATTTCTTGTTTAGCAGTTACTGCCTTTCTCCATAGTAGGGAGTATAGGATTGTCACATATCTTCATATGTAGGAATCCTACAGTAGGAATCCTACTGTAGGATCTGTGCGTGTCAGTAGAGACTTTCTAACCTAATAATGTATTTGACAGTGCACTGTGTATAAATGTAAGTTTCGTTCATTATATTTTGTTATTATTAAAATAACATTGTTAAAAATACCCTCAAAGTTTTTTAAAAGTGGGCCATTTAGAGCCATTTCCATCATTTTTTTCCCGCATTTTCGCAAACGCCCGAGTACGGAAATTTTAACCCAGTGGCTTTAACAAAATACCCATTCACCATTAAAGTCCAATGATTGGACAACATTCATGTGTTTTCGCATAAAATTTTAATTTCTTTTATATAAATTCTTTTCAAAGCGAAGATTATTATCCTCTAGGAGTAGGTACTTTGTCTCTCCTGGGCTGTAGTTACCTATATTTAGCTACTTTTTTATATGATTTTACTCAAAGATAATCCTTGATTTTACTCCACACCACCAAAGCCAAATTAATTGCATTTTTAACTTTTAACTTAACATAACCACAATTACATTATAATTACTTTAGTTTGTTTTAATCAATGCAACCAATTTTGGTTCCTTATTTACCAACCAAACCCCTAAATTTTGCAACGTTGCCGCAGTCCAGATAAAAAAAGAACTTTATTTTATTACCAACAACGCCAATGTGACTTTTACATTTTATTTGATGAATTAAAATATTGTTTGTGGATTAAGTTATTATAAAAATTCTGATATTGTTGAGCTTAATTTCAGTTTAAAGTAAACCTTAATAAAAAAAATTAAAAAGCCGATTTATATATATTATTCTTTAGCGATTTATTTAAGAAAAACTTTAATTAGGAGTCTCTAGGAGGAGGCAGTTGCCCCTGCTGCCTCCTCTCTTGGCGACGCCCGTGAATAACCCTAATATTTTTAGATGGTATCCACACTATCAGATGGTTGGAAGTTTGAGCAACTTATAAATATAGGGTCTCAGTATAATTATGGTGCCGATGAACACGCCGAGTTTTTGTGTGTGGTTAGTAGAGAGTATGGGCAACCGGAAGGTAAGGAGGTTAGAGGGGAAAGAGAAGATAGGGCCAAAGTGTTACAACAAAAAGGTTCACAAATGTAATTTTCTACTATTTATATTTTAAAAGCAGTCGTGCTTTTTTTGTGTTATATGATCTTCAATTGTTAGTATTCTTCCTTCTTAATCCATGATATCACATGATATTTTATTTAGCTGTGAAAACATGTATAGCTTTATGTGTATTTTTGTTTGAATATAAACAAGATTGAAAGCCAAAATTATACTTTTTTTGATAAACTCTGAATGTATGTATTTTTAATATGCTGCCATACGTTTTTGTAATATTAAAAATAAGCCTGTAATATTTATAAAGACTTTTATTTGTTGTGTTAAGAATAGGTGCGACAGTGTACAATAAAGAGTACCCACATATTAATTTTGAACTTGTGTTTTTTTTAATTAACCTTACTTTTACCCAAGCTGACCAATGGTTACACTTTTTAATCAACTAAAAGAAGAGAATAGTTACATAACAAAGATACTTAACTAATGTATTTTATTTTCAATAAAAATTCATTAATAATCATGTAAAGTATTTTACTCTTAAATATCTATATTTATAACATAAAAACCTAACTGGATGCCACTTGTTTTAAAGGTTCTTCCAAATATGAAGCTAAAGCATTTGCTTTCTCTTTTAACATGCCAAATCCAACATTATTTCTAGCATATAAACACAATAATTGATTAGACACTTGGGTGATTGCAATACGCCCATCCATACATTCCATAAGAATCATTTGAGGATGTTCCTCCCGAAACGCATTTCGGCCATTTTTTTCATATGCACCCCATATGTTACTAGCTATAGCAGCTGTCACTCTGGCATCTTTATCCCCATAGCCACTGTAAGCTAGTAGGGTTCCATCCTGATTCAAAAGGCTAGAAAACATGAAAAAATTAGTTACCCATAATACTGCTGTGCTAAGATGAAAGGTCCTATCTACAAAATTTTGTAATACAGGACAAAAGATCATTTTTATTGTTATAACAATAAAAATGATCTTTTTTCCTTTATTACAAAATTTTGTAGATAGGACCTTTCATCTTAGCACGGCAGAATAAATTATTCTGAATAATAATATGTAATTAAGATATTTACAGTGTATTTTCCACTCCTCCTGTATTAGCCTGGCTTAAAACTTGCGTTAAAACTTTGGGTTTAAGCATTTCTAACAATCAAAACAATAATAGTTGGAATTTGACATATCACAAAACAAGATAAATTTTATTTCTATAAAACAGTTTTGGGTTATTCTATTGGCAGCACTGAAAAGTAGGCTTAATATCAAGAAGACTAACTAAAGGAGAGTAACTGTCTACTATCCTGTCTATTATTATAGATACAGGATAATCGACTTCCTATACTAGGCCATGTTCCACACCCAAAAGACTTTTGGCAAAATTTCCACCGAAATGTCTTGATTTAGAACATGACTTTTTCATTTACAGAGAAATTTACTCTTCTTTTAAGTCTTCTTGTCCAATATAAATCTGTCAACGTTTAAATAACAGAGCTACCAATCACAAAAGTTATGTTTGTTCCAACCAACCCAAAATGCCGCAAATAGAAACATTTTAAACTTAACATTAAAATAAGTGTGACCCATTTGTTTGCAACTCACCCTGTGCGATTTCAACCGGATTTGTTTTGAAGTTTTTCAAAGTTTTGATAAACTGTATTTTTGGAGCAGAAGACGCCATATTTGTACAAAATACAAGGCCTACTATCTCAATTTTTAAGAGTAAATTTTTAAGAATTAATACTAGCGATTTTTTTAAACAAAATCTAAGCATGGCACTGGATTCACCACCCCTCAAAACGACCATTTACTAAATTTTATTGAAAAATTTTAAGTAGAAAAATGCACAGAATAATAACTACAAAAAATTATTTTGTCAAGTTATCCATGAAAAAAACATTGAAATAAAATTAAACTTTAGTAATAGTACCATGTTAGATGAAGATGAACAATACGAAACCCGTAGTGCCGTTTATAGATTCCCGTACGGGATTGTATTGTTCATCTTCTACGGGAGGAAGGAAGGAATGCGATCTATAAATCGGGCTTTATGCTATGGTGATTTCGTGAATTTTCGGGACTTTTTTTAACAGTTGGCAGCACTGTAAGAAAATTGTTTAGATGTTGAAGGTTGATGTGTTGTTTTAATCGTTTGGATATTTTTACATTGGATATCTAGGATAATATACAATATTGTATAGTGCTTTGGGCAAATACTTACCAAATAAAAAAGTCAACAGTTATGGTAAGTTTTTATTTAAATAAATTCTCCTAACCTAATAAATCTTTGGTTTTTAAATAAATATCACAATAAATACTTATTTTAAATTGCATCCCATGATGCATGGCAATTTTTTTTCACACTCCAAAAGTTGTCCAAATTATTATAAACTTTTTTCTCTCTACCATTGTAATTTAAAGCCTCACATATTCTACAGTAATGATATGATTTACTGTTAAAGTAACCATGTTCGTTAAGTACTTTAAAATTTTTCTTCCAATTATACATATCAAGATACCCTTCGGTCTTATTTAATACTTTTATATATTCAGCCAAGTCCCTAGGACTTGCAAATTGGTCTATATTTAAGTAGGAACCTAGTGGTAGTAGTTTTTTGTAATTGTAAATATTGGCACCCATCACAACAGGGATAGAGTTCTTTTCAAAGGCATTCCACCAAACTTTTTCAGTCAAATATTCATCACAATTTGAATTTTCAAAGGCTAAGTAGAACATGTATCTGTCTATATCCTTGCAGTTTGATCTAAAGTGGCCAGGACACCTAAGTAAATGTATAAAAAATAAACAAAAATTAATTTTAGTAATTTATTATTTGTAGATAAGTAGCTCTTACGTTTTAAATGTTCCGCATTTTCCATATACATCCACTTTAATATGTTTTTGAAGCTCTCTTACGTATTCCCATCTATGATTTTTACCTCCACAATTGGATCCCAAAATAGCTACCAAAACATCTCTTCGTTTATCTAATTTAAATTCCAGATTATCTGGATTTGAAGTTAAAATGGTCCTTCCATAAGGTACAGGTATTTCAGAGTCCATTCTGTATGTCATTGACCAGTTAAACACTCCATTAAACTCTTTAAGTTTTACTTTGTCTAAAAAAGTGTGGTAAGGGCTTTCATCTGTTAAAAAAGCCCAAATTTGGTTTGGATTTCTTGGCGATTGTGGTAAATCCTTAAGTCCCTTCATTCGGTGTAAGTGGTATATTACTATATCTGCCTTCTTCAAATCTTCATCTTTATTTGTAATATCACAGTTTGATACTGAACATCCATCAAGTGGGTTAATTCTTAAATTAAAAGTAATGAATTTAGAAATATAATAATAAAACCACCTGCATTATTGAAAAAGTTTTCAAATCAAATTCTTTTGGTTAATAGAATAAAATTACTTGTTTTACCTATTAACTAATACTTTTTTATTTAATAAAATTATTAACATAAAAAAAAGAGATTTAACCGGTTTTTGTGGAAGTACCTATTTAAGGAAATTTTAAGCTCTTTTGATGTATTTAAAACTGACCTTTGTCCATTTCTTGTCATATGTCTTTGTTCAATAGTTGAAGCATATTTCCAAACAAGAATTTTATAACGTTTATCCCTATTAACTATATTTCGAGTTGATTTATTTAGGAATAAAATTTTCCCCAACTCGGACATATTAGATTTCTAAAAAACATTGGCAATTAAAACCTTAATGGCGTAATTTTTGCTTACCATTTTCATCCGTAAGTCCATCCATTCTTGTATTTTGTCCTCTGGATACCCTTCGGCCTTCCATCGGTACCCGACAGGTTCCGTTTTGCGGTACTCTTGGTTGTCATTTTGCAGGATAATCAGTATGGTTGTGGTAAATAGAACTGTGCCAAGAAGAAATGCTTTTTTGTGCATACGCACCAATGACATTGTGCTGCTTTCTAAAAAAAAATATTTTGATTATTGTTATTTTTTGAAATGTTGCATAATTATCGCTAAAGTTTGTTGAATATTAAAATAAAGAGTAATTAATTTGTATTTATATTAAAAACATACAAATGAGTTTTCAGATAATTTTTGATAACAGAATTTTTTTATATGTAAAGTATATTATTACCTATACCTATATAATATTATGTAGTTATAACTATAGTTATATGTTATAGTTATGTATATTGAGCTCTCAATATAATAGGTTAAATTAACCCACTGGGGTGACACAGTGGACAAGTTTATATTATGTATGTATATTTTTTGTATATAAATTTTATATTATAAAATCAAATTTGAATTGATTTAATTTTATCTCTCCTTATAATTCAAAGGTCCCTAGTTTCAACACAGGCCAGAATTGATTTTTTTCATAAATATTTTATTATTAAAATATTATATAAATTGTTAAGTTAGGTTGGGTTGGGTTAGGTTGGGTTACCAGTAGCCTTATCTAAATATAATTAACTGTAAATACGAAAATACAACCGGACAAAGCCAAAGTTTGGGGATACCTAAATCGGAAAAAAATTGTTTGTTTATCAAGGACCAGTAGAAGATTCAGTTATAGTAAATTTAAAAGTAAACTACGTACACGTCATCAATCAGCTGATCGGGCACGGTTGTCAATGTGATGCTAAAATCCTTGCATCAAGGGAAAGTGGTAGTGCAACTACAGGGCGATAGTTGGCGTTTACATGAATAATACCAAAATGTCAATAGTCTGAGTTTTTATAACCTATATGATGCACCGCCAAAAGTATGTTTTTAGCCATTTTTAAAGACATTTTCTGATATAAAACCCAAAAATTTTGCCATCTAAAGTCAGTCTCTGGTATATATATTATTATTTCATGTATCCAACATATATGTTGTTAAATATTCTAATATATAATTAATAATAATCCTATTTACCTCTCTAACAGCTGTTAAAGGTAACAAAGGTCCATTATTATCCCGTTCTGCCTCAAAATAGCGTATTAAGGATGGCACCAACTCTTGACTCCGACTATTTAAATGCTTCGGCATTTTAAATATAGGAAACACAAAAAAACGATATATAACAAACACAAAAACGGCAATGAAAACTTAAACGATATAAAATAACACAAACAACAAACAAAATAAACGAAATAATACACGAATTAAACGAAATATTCAAAAACACAACTGACAGCTTCGAAATTCTAAAACGTCAAATTCTTTTTTATGTGTCATTTCAATATGAAAAATTTGAATGTAAACATGACAACATCACAATTGTTGCCAACTTAATTTGGTTAAAATGCATTCAAATATTCAATTACAGACTTCGATTTAGTCATTTAGTGTTGGTACCAATGCGTAAAATTTTTGTTTTATTGATGACGTGTACGTAGTTTACTTTTAAATTTACTATATGTTTATGAATTGTGCTTAAGCAGAAAACAAATGCATTCGTTATAGATTGACATTTCTAATATGTCAAATTTTAAACATTATTAAGCCACCATTAAAAATTGCAGTAATCACATATTGGACCAATTCATGAATGATTTTAAAGTATAATTAACCCTTGCTCACTACTAAAGTAATTGATTATCGCCTAGACTGTAAAAATAATTAAGACCAATTGGGTAAAGTTTTTTACCTTTTAGTCTGTAAAAAACCGTTTGGACCAATCAAAAAATTCCACAACTGTCAGATCTACCTAACCTCACTTATCATCATTTTAATTCATTAATTATTTTAATTGTACGTTTTATGTTTCTTTTTGTGCTTTGCTTAATATGGATTTAGTTGCCTGGTTTTTTACTCGTTCCGACCGTCACAGTCAAAGTTGTTTATATTGGAGTTGTAGGTTTGTAGTTTTTTAATTATAAATTTAATTAATTTTGCTAAATTTTGTTATACTTTTTTTTATCATTAATTTAATAATTGCTGTAGAACTTTTAATATTTGCACATTTTAAATTTCTTTGTTTAGGTATAACAATTATGTTTTAATTGCTTAACTTATTTATCACGAAAATGGTACTCTTGATAAAACTTGATTGGGTGGCAGTAATGGTTTATTGTGAAATTTTAATAAGTTCAATTAAATCGGTTGCTATAAACTGGACATTGCAATTATATTTTTCCTATATAGTATATTATGCATCAAGTTTTATAAACGCCATTTTAGTTGCGAGTTTTATTAGGCTCGAACGAAGCTTGCGAGCGAGTGTTTAAAAAACGAGTATCTAGAGAAGTTTATTAAACGAGTTGCATACTATGCTTTATCTACGACGAACACAAAGCGTATTTGTTAAAATTTTGATATCTGTTTAAGCCTGATTTATAGATTTTCTTCCTTCCTTCCTCCTGTAAAAGATGAACAATACAAAAACCGTAGAGCCGTTTATAGATTTCCGTACGGGATTGTATTGTTTATCTTCTACGGGAGGAAGGAAGAAAGGAAGGAAGGCAATCTATAAATCCACCAATACTTATTTTATATCAAGGAATCTATGTTATTTCGTTTTACATAAATTTTCCGAACATTCTGTATATTATGAAGACATAATTAAAAAACAATCTAATTAATACTTTTGTCAAGTGGTCTTAATTAATAAGATTTTTCATCTTTGACCTTTAAACTGGATCTGATTCTTGTTTAATAGATTAAAGTATTTATTATTATTTTAACTTTCATTTTTAAGTCCTTGAATTCTTTATGCAACCCGGTGTAAGTTGGTCAAAGATACAATCGGTTATTACACAAAAATATGTTATCATAATTAAACTAGAATATAGTTCAGTAGTATAGTAAGTAGGTATCTTAAGAATATTATATTATATTTTTCAAGTGTATAACAATTTTCATAGTATAGAAAGGCTTCATATTTGTACGCAGTTCAAAAGTCGAATTATTTTACTGTAAATACAGGTCACTGTAAAATAAATTCATGCAAATAACCTATAATGTCTAACTTCAACATTATCTATGACAAAATGACGCAAACTCAAGAATTAAAGTTCTTGGTATTGGTATTTAATTCCTTACTTTATTTTTTATATATTATAATAAATTCATTTCTTTCATCATTTTTTTATGGAAAAATTGTCTTATTCTTTTGGAAAAAGTAATTTTCACTTGTAGGTTCACTTGAGTAATATTTTTGAATTTTTGGTAGCTATAATTCTGGGAATTCAATTTCTACAAGCCACTCTTATTGCAAATCCAAATAAATCATAGTAAATTAAACATCAAGTTTTAATTTGTTTATTTTAATTTCACAACGAAATTAAAATTATCGTGTTCCTTATAAGATAAAAATTTATAAACCTATTTTGTATTACAGTTGGGTAAAAATTTCTCAAGTGGGCCACCCAAAAACCCTTCAGTCAAATTTTTTGTTCAAAATATATTTTTTGGGTAAAGTTTAAGCACCTCCACCGATTTGCCCAAAAATTTGTCTAAAAATTTTTTTTTTTGTCTCAAACATTAATGAACTAAGTTTTAAGACACTTTTTTTTATAAATTAATATCTCCTAAAGTAATGCATTGATTTTTAAAATTAAATCACCAATTAATTTAGATTTTAAAGTAGTTTCGATAAAAAAAATTTATAACCTTTAAAATTTGCATGTTTATATATTTTTTAGGTTAATATTTATGAAAAATTGTAAAAAATTGTGTTCTTCATCGAAATTTGTAACGAAAAAAATAGTGTAAATAAAAGAAACCTTATTAAATAGATTTGCGTTTAGAAAAAAAATGAATCTCTTCTAGGAATGGAGATATAAAAACATTTGTAAGGCGGAGCGCGATAAAACGAATCGCCGCGACGACCCGCGCGGAGCGCGCCCATTTTGTTTGATGCGTAGGTATGTTAGATTTAATTAACTCAACAAAATCTAGACACAAAACCAAAAGGCGATATTTGACAACTGTCAAAAACGTTTAATACTTAATATGTAGTGGGCTTTGACGTCCTAAACTTAAACCCTCGAACTGTCATTTATTCGTCAAAATATAATTTGCTGGGTAACAGTGTTGTTGTAAAGTCGTTATTGATAAGTGTTTAATTATTAAAATACAATTGTTCAATTAAGTTTTTGGTAAATAATTATTTAAGGAAGAAAAAGGGTAAGTTATTTCTGTAAAATAACAACTTAAATAACAATTCTTAAATACATTTATTTCGGTACGCTCACGGGCGTAGAAAAAAGTACTTTTTTGTACGCTCACGGGCGTACAAAAAAGTGAAATTATATAAATTTAAAAGAGAAAGGAGGATTTTTCTGAAAATTTTAGTTTTGTTATTCAAGATGCAATTCAGTCTTTTCATTGGTCAAACAACCAAGTTACGATACATCCCTATGTAATTTATTACAAAGAAAATAATGAAACCCTTCATCACAATTTCGTAATTATTTCGGAAAGTATGAAACACGATTCAACGGCAGTGAATTTATTCAATAAAAAGATGCTGAATTATTTAAAGGAAGTTCATGGGGAAAAAAATGTAAAAAAGTTGTTCTTTTTTTCTGATGGTTCCGGTTCCCAATATAAAAATAAGTTCAATTTTCTCAATCTTGTATTTCTAATGAAATCTACTGGTATCAATGTCGAATGGAATTTTTCTGCAACATCCCACGGAAAAAGTGCCTGTGACGGTATTGGCGCGACAGTAAAAATAAATGCTTATCGTGTTAGTTTGCAACGACCTGAATATAATCAAATTTTAACGCCCAAGATTTTTTATAATTGGGCAATTAATTTTTTTGAGAAAGTTTCTTTTGATTTTTGCACAGAAAACGAACACGATCGGGAGCATAAAGCTTTAACTTCACGTTATAAGAAAGCAATTACAATAAAAAATACGCGCCAGTATCATTGCTTTAAACCAAGTGAAGACGGCAAACATATCATGTGCAGAAAAATTTCATCGTCCAATGAATATATAAAACATGTGCAATCAGGAAGTAAATACTTGTGCAAGTAAACTAATGTATATGCAAAAAAAAATTATTAATAATAATTAACAAATAAAGAGTTTTTTTTAATAAACACGTTTGTTTTTTCGATTTTTGAATAACAACGAACTTCGAAGCTTGAAGATAACGCGCTCCGCGCGACTACCCGTTTTATCGCGCTTGCCAGTGCAGCGCGCCGCCTTACAAATGTTTTTATATCTCCATTTCTAGAAGAGATTCATTTTTTTCCTAAACGCAAATCTATTTAATAAGGTTTCTTTTATATACACTATTTTTTTCGTTACAAATTTCGATGAAGAACACAATTTTTTACAATTTTTCATAAATATTAACCTAAAAAATATATAAACATGCAAATTTTGAAGGTTATAAATTTTTTTTATCGAAACTACGTTAAAATCTGAATTAATTGGTGATTTAATTTTAAAAATCAATGCATTACTTTAGGAGATATTAATTTAAAAAAAAAAAGTGTCTTAAAACTTAGTTAATTAATGTTTGAGACAAAAAAAAATTTTTTAGACAAATTTTTGGGCAAATCGGTGGAGGTGCTTAAACTTTACCCAAAAAATATATTTGGAACAAAAAATTTGACTGAAGGGTTTTTGGGTGGCCCACTTGAGAAATTTTTACCCAGTTTCATAATAGTATATTATGTATCAACTTTAATAAACGCCATTTTAGACACGAATTTAATTTAGGCACGAGCGAGCTTGCGAGCTAGTGCTTAATTAAATGAGTGGCTAAATTTTTTTATAAACGAGTTGCATACTATACTTTTTCAACGACAAATACTTAATATTATCTAAAAATGATTTAAATTAAAAGTTGTATAGAGCGACGTGTAAATCGAAATTTATTCCTTGAAAATGTACCGTTTAATCCGATAAAGCAGTTTTTCAGAGTGAAATTTAAAAAAATGTTTTATTGACACGAAATTAAGTTAAATATAGTTTACTGCCAGCGAAATTAAAAAGTCAGTACAATGTTCATATAAACTTTTCAAATATTGGCGTTGAGAAATTATTTAATACTTTTGTATTAGGATAACAAAATATTTTTTTTTTGGCAAAGGTAGACTTTGCGATAAACAAATAATTAAAAAAAAATGTATTTTTTACAAATTAAAAAAAAAATCAGTTAGAATTTTGGTAAATATCGTTTTTAAATCACCAAAGAGTGCCGATCAAAAAACTTGAACCAGTTTTTCGTTCAAAATTGAAAACTACTAAAAAGCCTAAATTAAACAACATTTGCGATAAACAAATAATTTAAAAAAAATTTCTACAAATTTAAAAAAATCTGTTAGAATTTTGGTAAATGTCGTTTTTAAATCCTAAATACTTCTTTAAGTTTACCACATCTAAAACTGATGCTTACAGGATATTTTTTTAAATGGTAGGTACCTTACTACATAATATGTACAAAGTAATTAATAGCTTTGTTCGCGGAGCTCATCCGTGATCAATCCGCGACAACTGCGCATGCGCACTGGCAATTTTAGCGTTCGCGGTGTAAAAATCGGCAACATTTGACATTTGATCACTCGTTCGCGGAGCCTTCGGGACCAGTTTCGAACTAATTACTGACAAGTCAAAACAATCCGAGGATTTTAGCATGTACTAGCTGTCAGACATGCGTATTGTTCATTATTGTTTAAAGTTTATTTTAGGTTATATGTTCTATATTGTTTTTAATTAAATTGTTTAACGAAAACGTAAGTTGAAATACTTATTTTTTACTTGCATTGTTCATTTCCTTGCTTATTTTATAGATGAGTGATCATCTATCATCCAGTGATGAAGATTTAGAAAATAGTTTAGATTTAATTGAAGTTCCTAAAAATACTGCATATTTTGAAGAAATTGTTCCCATGTTCGATGATCAGCTATTTAGGGAGCATTTTCGAGTTACCAAAGAGATTGTTGATGATTTAGCAGAGCGATTTAGCAATTCTGAATACTATAATTATCAGGAAGGAGATTCCCCAAAAAGTTTTGTCACAAAACAGCTTACTGATGGTTGCGGTTAGAAACGCGTTCGCGGAGATTTGTTAATTCTTGATCGGTTCCGAATCGCGCATGCGTAGCATGGTTCGTGATTATTTACCCTATACAGATACGGAACTAGTCATGGATGGGCTCCGCGAACAAAGCTAATATTATTTATTATTTAATAATTTATTATTTAATTTTATTTTATTCAAATTTGTATCAAACATTTACTAATATTTTTTATGATTTTAACAGTTATTGGTATTTGCAAGCAAAAACATCAACATTCTCTAATCTTTGATGCGTTTTCTGAGTTTGGAAAACACTTTTAATAGGCACATTTATACAGTGTTTCTCAGAATTAAATGCATTTTTTAAACGAATATAACTAGCAATTTTCTAGGAAAAATTAAACAAGATCTTTTGCAAATTATTCCTTCTGGTGTTAACATTCCAATTGAAACCAGGAATAGCATGGCATGCATGTAAATAATGTTTTTTGTGCTTAAATATAAATAAATTAAAAAGTTGGATTACCTGTTTATACAATGTATTATCGTGATACATGCAGAGTTTTTCTGGCCTAAAAGATTATCAGCCATAATTGCGTGAAGAGAATGTTTTAATTGGAATAACTTAAAAAATAAATCAATATATATCAATAAATATGGGTCATTCCACGCCAAATCGAATGGTTTAAAATTTTTTTTTATTCCTCCAATTTTTTTTATATTTTTTAGTACTCCTTGAAAGAGCTTTCTCAGTAAATTTTGAGATTTTTTTTATCACGGGTTCAAAAGATCAAATTTTCAAAAAAACTGCTTTTTTTGTTTTTCGCTCATAACTTCTTAAAAAATGGTCCAAATCAAAATGTTCATTCTATATAAAATTTTCGTTTTTAAATGTTCTTTTCGAAAAAAAATACATTGAAAATATTTGAAGCGTTTTAAGACAAGATTTTTGAGTTTTAAAGTTTAAATCGTGTTTTTAAAAATGTGTGAAATTTTTTATTTTCAACTTCTATCTATTCAACAACTATTCAGCCTGGTCCGGTAGTGGGCCTTCCATAATTACTATTTTTGTTGATTTTTCAAAATTAAAAAAAAAATTCTCTAAAAATTATTATGTTTCGAAAAAAAAATAGTAATTATGGAAGGCCCACTACCGGACCAGGCTGAATAGTTGTTGAATAGATAGAAATTGAAAATAAAAATTTTTCGCGAAAATCGAAGAAGACACACATTTTTAAACTTTAAAACTCAAAAATCTTGACTTAAAACGCTTCAAATATTTTCAATATATTTTTGTTTTGAAAAAAAACATTTAAAAACGAAAATTTTATATTGAATGAACATTTTGATTTGGACCATTTTTTAAGAAGTTATGAGCGAAAAAGAAACTTTGAACACGTGATCAAAAAAATCTCAAAATTTACTGAGAAAGCTCTTTCAAGGAGTACTAAAAAATATAAAAAAAATTGGAGGAATAAAAAAATTTTTTTGAAACCATCCGATTTGGCGTGGAATGCCCCATATATAAAATGTTTATCTTTTAATCCTGACATTGCGTGATATTTTCATATAATTTTGAGGTAAAATCCAAGTATATTTCCCCTAAAGAAAAAGGGGTCGTCCATGAAGTATGTCACACCGTTTTAGGGGATTTCAGACCCCCCACCCATGTTATACATAGTAGTATAATACTACCAGAAACAGTCTCTGATAGTACTTTAGTATTATTATAGCACAAGATGTCAAAAAGTCTTGACCACCTAAACGTGCGACGTACTTTATGGACTTCCGCATTAAATTGTGTAATATTTATTTATTACCATTTTTTTCGACCGAGATCTTCATTGGGGCACGATTAAAAACATCACCATCACTGTTCGAAATCTCACAAACGCGGTTAACATGAGCGATAGCAGGCGTTTGTTTTGCTCGACACCACGCGACACTGGACCTGTGCACTGTACGCAGTATGTGTGTGGGGATAATAATTATTAACGATGGCGCATAGTGTGCCAAAACAAAAAAAACGCGAATAAATAAAAAATAATAAAGCACTGTTTACGCTGTACGAGTTTATTTCTTGCAATTACGGTAATGAGCGCTCAAACAATGCTTACTGTGCTCACTTCCCGTTTTTAACTTACGATAATGGTTTGTTAGGTTGATTCATGGTCAGAAAAGAAAATATAAATGTATTTTACTGTTTGATTACGGCGTCAGGTTACGCTATGGAAAAGGCAAGGATTTTTGCAAAAAGAGGATTTTTAACGCTTTATGACCAATTTTATAAGGAAAAACAGTTGATTTGTATTGCGATACAATGCAAAAATAATTTTATATAAAAAATCGCTTTTAGTGTCTAGGTCGTTCAATTTACTTTTCGTAAGTTTTGCGACATAACCAGTTGCATACGAAATGTTATTGTGTATATATAATTAGAAAACTAATTAACCAGAACGCATGGCATTAAATTTATTAGGGTTTATGTTTTATTTGGACTTTAGAACGCTTAATAAGTTTTCTATATTTATAATGTTGTATTTTAAAATGGCAGTAGTCAAATTATAATATCTAATATTAATAGAAGAAAACATTGCTATTCAAAGCATTTATGTGATTTTAAAATGTTTCTGAAAAATGGTTTTACTACAGAATAAAAAAATATTATTAAATCGTATTAAAAAGTATGTTTTTCTAAATTTTGTACCTCCAATCAATATGTTGTTTAAAATTGTTTAATATTAGTTTAGGTAAATAGTATATTACACTACAAGGGCAGAAAGTGTGAGATTCCATCACGGCGCGCAGTTCAGGGCTCTCACACTTTCTGCCCGTGTAGTGTATACTATTTTTTTTACTACCTCGGCCGAAAATACGGGAAAAAATTAAATGTGTATATCGAAACATATTGATGCCTGCCCAAATTTTGAGGTTATATTAGTGTCGTAATCAGAGTTGCATATGTTGAGCACACGACTAAAAAATTTTTACTCCCGCTATTATAGAGTGTGCGCGTATAGCTTGACCAATGCAAGAAACGTAAACTTTCTGCCGTGGAATCGGGGACGAAACAACGTATTTTCAGTCGAGGTAGTAAGAAAAAATTATTTTTACATTTTTTCTAGGTACTAATTTAAATTTAATGCTAATTTTTATAAATTTACATTTGTATTTTAATTAAATTTTAAACAAACTTCAATTTCCAAATGCTCAGATTCCTGTAACCAACTAAAAATATAAATTACAGAAACCTGTATATTACAGATAACTGTATTTACCACGGTGTCTCAGACTTTTTTCAACCGAGTGATCAACACTAAAAATTACATGCGTAATACAAAAATATGGTCGTTCTGACGTCCATTTGACAGCCCAAATGCTCGGCAGGAACAATGAAACAAGATTTAATATTTTTTTAAATCTTATTTCAGATATCTCATAGATGTCTTTTAAATACCTATCTTTTTGAAGTGTTTTAGATATTATTTAGATGCCTTTACATATCTTATACAGGGATAAAAATGGCGCTTAAGATGTCTTTAAGATATCTTATATACCTATTATTATTGTCGTTTCAAATGTATTTTTTTTAAATTTGTCATAAGGCTAAGAAGTGAGTCTTTTTGTTTGTCAAAGTTTGAAGGACGACGCGTTAGCGGAAGCCTACAATTGAGCGAAGCACAAAAACACATGTCTCAGCCGAATGGCATATAACATTTCATCTTCAAGGCGCAGTTTTATTTGTTAAACGATACATTAAACGTAATAACAATTATTAAAAATATAAAGTGTGGTTAGATAGCTCAGAGCTGTGATCAGTTATCGAATTTTTTAATTGGATTTAAGTTTTTTTTACAGACTAGGATGTAAAAAATATCACCTTATTGGTCCAAATTCTTTTTACAGCCTAGGAGATAATTGAATACTTAGGTAGTGAGCGTTGACAATAATAAAGCCCCTGACAGTTCGACAGTCCAAATGCTCGGAAGGAAGACTATTACTAACCATTTTTTTAATTTGAACTAAATTTAACAAAATTAAATGGTTTTAAAAATAACCGGAGTAATTTTTTCTTGGGTTATTTAATATGTACACAACGTTCTTAACACATTTATTTAAATACCCAGCAATTTTTATGAAAAGAAAGCTTGTTGATCTTGAACATATCAGCCTTAAATATGATGGTATTTTATCATGACAAACAGTCATAAAATTTATATGACAGTTTGCTTTAAAATTACATACTTTAAATTACCAAATTTGCTTGAATAAATTTATACAATAAAAAATCAAAAAATAATCTTCATTTTTCCCCTGTATATTCTCTGTTCTCGTCCTTGTTTAATATGCAAACAGAATTCTTTATAAATATCGCTTTTAAAAAAATTGCATTCTATTACATGCATTATTGTATTAAAAATTAATTTATTTTTTAAATTAAAATGCTAATATTTTTACAACCACAATAATAATAATAATTAATAAATGATAAGTTAATAATTGCGTTTTTTATTAACTATTAATTATGGATTTAATATTTTTTTAATTAAAAACGCGACCTAAATTGAATAAAAGAAGTTTTTGGGTAGATTTGTGAATGAACGAACTTACTATAATAGTTAAAAGTTTTATTAAGTTTATAATGACATTTTTAAACGGATTTAAAAGTATTTTGCGTACATAGCAACGAATGTAAAAGACTTTACTCTTTAAGAGTGCTGAAAGTTGATACTTTCCGCACGCACAACGTGCGCAACGTGCGTGTAATGTAAAAGTCAACGTTTAATAATAGTTTTCAAAAAAAATTATATTTATACTTCCCATATATAGTGCGCCATTTTTTGGAAACCCTGTATAATATTTACAATTAAATTTTACCATTTTTTTATTTTTGTTTATTATTATAAGAAAAGACAAAATTTAAAGCTAAAAGTATTTAAATTATAATTAAGTATGTATGATATTAAATTATAAGCCGCTAAATGATTAACCACATGCTTGTTTTAAAAAACACGATGGCTGTTTTATTAAATTTAAAATAATGTATTTTTATTAAGCAGGCACGCCCAATTAAGCAGGCACACCCAATTGAGTGGTAAATGAATCAGGGTTAACAGCTATTTTTTGCCCCTCATCTTATTAAATAGAAGAAGAAAATAAAAATATATTTTAGTTAGTAAAACTTAATTTCTTAATTGTTTATTATTAATGAATACGAAAAACTATGATATGATAGGTAGTCTACCCAGGCAGGTGCCTAAATGGCCAACTTGCTTTTATTGTTTCTTTTAAATGCCGTTTTGATTTATATGAATGCCATGGTTACAGGTAGAATTTTATTTAAATTGGGTACCTATGGTTTTTGTTGTAAACTTTCCAAAAAAATTAAAAAAAATAAATTCACCTCATGTGTCAAATGTAATTTTTTTGAAAATATAAACAAATAAACAAATTTTCGCAACCATTATTTTAAGTCCGTTTCTGTAGGTCAATATGGGCGGTAATTGTTTGTTAAAAAAAGGTATGCAACCGCCCCAAAGTGTTTGCCACGTTGCCGTTGTTCATAAAACCTTCCAAAATGGTGAAACTTTATTTTTACATATTTGATTATGTTGGTAGTCTTACACTAAGTATTTTCAAAATTACAAATTGGTGTTATTTTTTCTAAATAAGCTAAAATATTTTATCGTCCAAATACAAAAAACTGAGTCGTTATAACGCATCTCTGCGTGGTACGTTTGGCAACACAGCGTCTTGTTAAGGCAGTTTGTGGCATAGCCGGCTATTTGAATGCGACTGTCTTTTTTTAAAGGAAGACAGAACCTTGAGCGTTTGAGAAAGATAGGAGTCTTGTTAGCAAAACAGACGTGAGCCATTCAGTGGCGTAACACAAAAATTATTTCTGTTTAAAATATCGGTGGTGTGAAGATAATATAACACCATGAATTACCACCATGAATTATGGTTGAAAATGTTTTATACAGCAAACACCAATACGGTGTTTATCTAAAAATATTTGAGAAGTGCACCTACACAGAAAAAAAGGAATACCTAGTTCATTTAACTATATTAATTTAGTTGACCCAAAAGTATTTATTTAAATCAACTGTGGGAAGGTTAATATAAACAAAGATTAGTTTGACGGTACTAAACCAGATAGTTATTTTATTTTTTTTTAAATTGGTTAAATTAACCCAGAAAACTTTAGTGAAACCAACCCGCTGTATGGTTCAGTTTACTAAATATGTTGTTTGTAAAATAAGAGTTACTTCAACCTAAAGCACTCTGTTAAAACGATTAAAACAATTTGCGGTGCATTCCTTGTTGCATAGTGTGTACCGATCGCGGCAAAGGCGGTGTGGATCACGTGATGTTCTTAAACCTCGCCTCTGTTGACTTACATGAAGAGTATATAAGCTCAGGTAGTCCTTTGCTTTGGTGTGACACTACAAGTTGTTCGATACTAAAGAGACCTTAAATAGGTGGAAACAGCTGTCAATATTTGAAGTATTGGTGGAACGCACTAAAACATTATCTCTAGCGAGTTGAAGGTTCAATTTTCTGGAATAATACCACTGGTAATATACTTATAATGCGTCAAGGAACTTCCTTTTTCCTTTTTTTCTGTGTAGTATGATTTAATTTGACCAAAAACACATTATATTTAACACTGAAAAGGAGTTCAATTTACACCAGGTAAAATTTATTTTAAAAGGTTAAATTTACACCATTTTAGTATTTGAATTTACACTGGACCAACGAACCATATTTAACACCATTTTGGTTTGTATCGATATAGACCATGTATGGTGTTAATTTGGTGTTAAAATGATCATGAAATTTTGAACAGTGTACCTATACAATGTTTAATGTGAATAATTTTAT